TCAACTTTGCGACTTGACTACACTACAGTCAACTTTGCGACTTGACTACACTACAGTCAACTTTGCGACTTGACTACACTACAGTCAACTTTGCGACTTGACTACACTACAGTCAACTTTGCGACTTGACTACACTACAGTCAACTTTGCGACTTGACTACACTACAGTCAACTTTGCGACTTGACTACACTACAGTCAACTTTGCGACTTGACTGCACTACAGTCAACTTTGCGACTTGACTACACTACAGTCAACTTTGCGACTTGACTACACTACAGTCAACTTTGCGACTTGACTACACTACAGTCAACTTTGCGACTTGACTACACTACAGTCAACTTTGCGACTTGACTACACTACAGTCAACTTTGCGACTTGACTACACTACAGTCAACTTTGCGACTTGACTGCACTACAGTCAACTTTGCGACTTGACTACACTACAGTCAACTTTGCGACTTGACTACACTACAGTCAACTTTGCGACTTGACTACACTACAGTCAACTTTGCGACTTGACTACACTACAGTCAACTTTGCGACTTGACTACACTACAGTCAACTTTGCGACTTGACTACACTACAGTCAACTTTGCGACTTGACTACACTACAGTCAACTTTGCGACTTGACTACACTACAGTCAACTTTGCGACTTGACTACACTACAGTCAACTTTGCGACTTGACTACACTACAGTCAACTTTGCGACTTGACTACACTACAGTCAACTTTGCGACTTGACTACACTACAGTCAACTTTGCGACTTGACTACACTACAGTCAACTTTGCGACTTGACTACACTACAGTCAACTTTGCGACTTGACTACACTACAGTCAACTTTGCGACTTGACTACACTACAGTCAACTTTGCGACTTGACTACACTACAGTCAACTTTGCGACTTGACTACACTACAGTCAACTTTGCGACTTGACTACACTACAGTCAACTTTGCGACTTGACTACACTACAGTCAACTTTGCGACTTGACTACACTACAGTCAACTTTGCGACTTGACTACACTACAGTCAACTTTGCGACTTGACTACACTACAGTCAACTTTGCGACTTGACTACACTACAGTCAACTTTGCGACTTGACTACACTACAGTCAACTTTGCGACTTGACTACACTACAGTCAACTTTGCGACTTGACTACACTACAGTCAACTTTGCGACTTGACTACACTACAGTCAACTTTGCGACTTGACTACACTACAGTCAACTTTGCGACTTGACTACACTACAGTCAACTTTGCGACTTGACTACACTACAGTCAACTTTGCGACTTGACTACACTACAGTCAACTTTGCGACTTGACTACACTACAGTCAACTTTGCGACTTGACTACACTACAGTCAACTTTGCGACTTGACTACACTACAGTCAACTTTGCGACTTGACTACACTACAGTCAACTTTGCGACTTGACTACACTACAGTCAACTTTGCGACTTGACTACACTACAGTCAACTTTGCGACTTGACTACACTACAGTCAACTTTGCGACTTGACTACACTACAGTCAACTTTGCGACTTGACTACACTACAGTCAACTTTGCGACTTGACTACACTACAGTCAACTTTGCGACTTGACTGCACTACAGTCAACTTTGCGACTTGACTGCACTACAGTCAACTTTGCGACTTGACTACACTACAGTCAACTTTGCGACTTGACTGCACTACAGTCAACTTTGCGACTTGACTACACTACAGTCAACTTTGCGACTTGACTGCACTACAGTCAACTTTGCGACTTGACTACACTACAGTCAACTTTGCGACTTGACTGCACTACAGTCAACTTTGCGACTTGACTACACTACAGTCAACTTTGCGACTTGACTACACTACAGTCAACTTTGCGACTTGACTACACTACAGTCAACTTTGCGACTTGACTACACTACAGTCAACTTTGCGACTTGACTACACTACAGTCAACTTTGCGACTTGACTGCACTACAGTCAACTTTGCGACTTGACTACACTACAGTCAACTTTGCGACTTGACTACACTACAGTCAACTTTGCGACTTGACTGCACTACAGTCAACTTTGCGACTTGACTACACTACAGTCAACTTTGCGACTTGACTGCACTACAGTCAACTTTGCGACTTGACTACACTACAGTCAACTTTGCGACTTGACTGCACTACAGTCAACTTTGCGACTTGACTGCACTACAGTCAACTTTGCGACTTGACTGCACTACAGTCAACTTTGCGACTTGACTACACTACAGTCAACTTTGCGACTTGACTACACTACAGTCAACTTTGCGACTTGACTACACTACAGTCAACTTTGCGACTTGACTACACTACAGTCAACTTTGCGACTTGACTACACTACAGTCAACTTTGCGACTTGACTACACTACAGTCAACTTTGCGACTTGACTACACTACAGTCAACTTTGCGACTTGACTACACTACAGTCAACTTTGCGACTTGACTACACTACAGTCAACTTTGCGACTTGACTACACTACAGTCAACTTTGCGACTTGACTACACTACAGTCAACTTTGCGACTTGACTACACTACAGTCAACTTTGCGACTTGACTACACTACAGTCAACTTTGCGACTTGACTACACTACAGTCAACTTTGCGACTTGACTACACTACAGTCAACTTTGCGACTTGACTACACTACAGTCAACTTTGCGACTTGACTACACTACAGTCAACTTTGCGACTTGACTGCACTACAGTCAACTTTGCGACTTGACTACACTACAGTCAACTTTGCGACTTGACTACACTACAGTCAACTTTGCGACTTGACTACACTACAGTCAACTTTGCGACTTGACTACACTACAGTCAACTTTGCGACTTGACTACACTACAGTCAACTTTGCGACTTGACTACACTACAGTCAACTTTGCGACTTGACTACACTACAGTCAACTTTGCGACTTGACTACACTACAGTCAACTTTGCGACTTGACTACACTACAGTCAACTTTGCGACTTGACTACACTACAGTCAACTTTGCGACTTGACTACACTACAGTCAACTTTGCGACTTGACTACACTACAGTCAACTTTGCGACTTGACTACACTACAGTCAACTTTGCGACTTGACTACACTACAGTCAACTTTGCGACTTGACTACACTACAGTCAACTTTGCGACTTGACTACACTACAGTCAACTTTGCGACTTGACTACACTACAGTCAACTTTGCGACTTGACTGCACTACAGTCAACTTTGCGACTTGACTACACTACAGTCAACTTTGCGACTTGACTACACTACAGTCAACTTTGCGACTTGACTACACTACAGTCAACTTTGCGACTTGACTACACTACAGTCAACTTTGCGACTTGACTACACTACAGTCAACTTTGCGACTTGACTACACTACAGTCAACTTTGCGACTTGACTACACTACAGTCAACTTTGCGACTTGACTACACTACAGTCAACTTTGCGACTTGACTACACTACAGTCAACTTTGCGACTTGACTACACTACAGTCAACTTTGCGACTTGACTACACTACAGTCAACTTTGCGACTTGACTACACTACAGTCAACTTTGCGACTTGACTACACTACAGTCAACTTTGCGACTTGACTACACTACAGTCAACTTTGCGACTTGACTACACTACAGTCAACTTTGCGTGCAACGACACTCGGCAGGGCGTCAGTGAGAAAAGTGTCCTTATTTGCAAAGTGTCCTTATACCCGAAGTCTCATAATATGTATTACAGTTAGATGGGACTTTGCTCTGGGCATGGAAATTCTGTCGTTATATCCGCGGTCGTTATTAGCAAAGTTGATTGTACCTGAATTATTTATGTCCCTTGCCGGACCACCTTTATGTACGTTATACTGAAGTTTGGATTTGTGTGGACTTGTACATAATATGAAAGTCCTTACGGTAATATCCACACTAAGATTGGCTTGATCACCTCAGGAATTCCAGTACTCCTGCACATTGTAACTTGGAATGTTGACTGCCTGGTTGGCTACTAGACTAATCCACTGGCCACGACACTGATTTGCTACGCGCATTTGCTAAGTTTTAAAAGCAAATTTCCGAAATGTAGGCTACGACTCGGTGTGCATGATCGCCAGTTGATTTATTTTCCTCTGAACCGAATACCGCTTACAGTGAAACGTGTCTAAGACGACCGCTCAAGGGACCTTCAAAGTGTGGTCTCTGTAACCAGGTGGTCTCCCTATCCAGTGCCATTTGACTGGAATGATAGCATCCCTTGGTCCTGGCTGCAGTGGTCTTCTGGGACAGGTAGTCGCCTTATCCGAGTGGTCGCCTTGACAGGCTTTACTGTACACGAATGCACCGGGCTGCAATGTGCAAAGTGCTATTACAGTTACCTGAAGCTAGTAGAATAATTCGTTACTTTATTGACTGCCACCCAAATGCATGGCTATATTGCGCCAACATGACCCGCGAGTGGCATGCTCTCACAGTACACAAGTAGTTTAATACAGCACATCATGCATTGTCTGACGTTTTTTCCTGGCTCAAAAGTATATAAGTCAGCTTAGAGCCGCTAGTAGTAGTAGTAGCTCCCATTACAGCTCTGCTAGCTCATGATTTCAATGACGTGGGACGGAGTCGTCTTTGCTCCACGCTGTCAGACTTCCGGTCATCCATACAAAAACATAATTATAGGGTACCCCGTAGGAAGGCCTTAGCCTTAGCTTAGGCCTGTGGGAACGCCCTATTCAAAACTTTAAAATAAAATACTAAACAATAAGTAAGTTGGGTACACAGTCATGTACGTACATGTACATGTAATTGATGTACTACATGTAGTACTACATGTAGTAATAGTACTAGAGTATGACTGTGCAAAAAACTTTTTTTTTTAATGCCTCATCATTCAGAATCTGAATGATGAAAATCATCTGATGTCGTTGATGATAATGAATGATTGATGAGGCATCGCAGGCTTCTATTTTCAAACAGGTCGTTTGTTGCTCGAACTATTAAAAGAATATTGAGGAAGAAAAATTCTTGAAGGGCCCAAGGGTAACGTTTGGTAAGTGGGATGATCCTGGACTTCTGGGGTTCAAGCCCTAAAAGCAAACAACCGCATCATTTCACTTACTAGTACTTGCAGCGGTCTGTTCAGGCTTGTCGTGCGGGGTGGATGCCGGGTTTGAATGGAGGAAAGCTGTTTGAGCCAAAGCATTAGCTCGTCTTTGATACCAACTCCATCTTATGGCTCAACCGAGGACACCGATCACAAACTGCAGACTGAGAGACCGGAAGGGGACAGCCATGACCAGCACGTTACTGCGTGTACGCTCACTACGTCTACTTCCGGAGGTGGTACACATAGCGGCACTCCGCATCACGATTATCACGTAGCTTCAGCGGCAGTGCGCGGTAATGTCACTGCAGACAACAACAGCAGCAGCACTGGCTGTAGCACTCCATCAGCAAGCTATTCGGCTGCACTTGGTCTGTCCAGAGTGCGGAAGAGAGTGATATTTGTCTGTCTGGCACTGAACAGCACATTTACGATGGCTTGTATAGCTGTGATGATTCCGTTCTTTCCACGCGATGCGTCCAAGAAAGACCCCAGTGGTCAGGATGCTGTTGGTGGTGCCTCTGCCATTGGGCTGGTGTTCAGCATCACGCCGTTTACAGAGTTTCTGGCCGCACCATTCGTAGGCAAGCTGATACCCCAGGCTGGGCCTAAGCTGGTGCTGCTGCTGGGGGGAGTCCTGGTCAGCGGTGTGATGGTGCTATTTGGCTTTGTGAATGACATTGATGAGTGGTCGGACTTCTTGATCATATGCTACGCGCTGCGCGGTGTCCAGGGCGTCGCAACGGCGTTCAATGCCACTGCTGCGTTTGCTGTCCTGGTCGGCCTGTTTCCGGACAATGTGAGCCTTGTGTCGGGTGTGATACGCGCATCGCAGGGCTTTGGCTTCACCGTAGGTCCAGCCATGGCCGGTGCACTCTATGACTATGGTGGTTTCATGCTGCCGTTTCTTGTACACGGCAGTGTGATGTTTGCTGGAACGATCTGGGTCCTGTTTGCACTGCCGGGTGATGTTGAGGTGGCTACTAGTAAGAAAGGCAAGAAGATGTTCAGTGACATACTAACTATGCCCTGGTCTCTACTCTGGCTCACAAGTATATTTGTGTGGGGCTCGGGAATTGGCATGATCGAGCCAACGCTATCGTTATTTCTGGAGGAACACTTTGGGCTGAGTGCATCAAAAGTGGGTCTTATATTTCTCTTGTACGCTGGCACATTAGCAGTGTCATCGCCCGTCGTTGGGTACGTCGCTGACAACTACATAGCCCCACATTGGTTTCAGCCACTAGGCATGGCTTTAGGCGTGCTGGGGTTCGCTTTAGTCGGCCCCTGGTCTGGCTTGTCTCTAGTGCCGGCTGTGTGGCGCACAATAGTATCACTGGTCTGCATAGGCATCGGTGCGGGTATCATCAGCACGTGTGTAACTCCTGGTGTGCTGAAAGCCATGCACCAGGCTGGTTACAAAGACACACTGGAACTGCACAGCAGTCTCGGCGGTATGATCACAGCCTTCTTCTCCTCGGGACTGGCGCTGGGCCCGACTGTTGGCAGCATTGCTGCGGCCGCAATTGGTTTCCCCAATGCAGCAGCGACATTCGCGCTGCCCTTCCTTGCAGCTGGTGGTGCTGGTGGTTTGCTGAAATGTTGGAACAAGATTGCTCATGCATGGCAACGGCGACAATGCACAGACGAACATGTAGTACTCATATCAGAGCAAAGCCGGGTTTCATCCGATCATTCTTGTCCAAATCAGCAGCCACCTGAAGATAGGTAACAGCAGGACTATAAAATAAATATGACTTTAAAATATTGCGATACCTCGATAGCTCCCCTACGCAATAAATACACTCCTTGTTCTGTGTTTTACCTGGATAGCATTATCTAACTTTCCAACGGCGCTTCGTAAGATCATTTTCCAAATTGTATTCACCGCTGTCCAGTGCCAACAACACTCACATATACCCCCGGGGTCGTACTTGCGATTTGGACCGGATTTAATTCCTAATTATTATCAGAATTTCAAAAACACTGAGCAAAGGATCTTTGACTGCGACACCCAGCAAAAGCTAGATTTGCAATATTATCTGAAATAGAATAATTCAATCGATCATACTCTTCTAATCTCAGGCTTGGCCTCGGTTCCAGGCTTAATTATTATGATACGAACCGTGACAGTGCTTCTCCCTGACGATGGGCACACAGTGTTGCGCCCTGATGAAAATCCATGCCCAAAACTTATGGCGCCCATTTGGCTTCTCGAATCTTCGCACTGGGAAGACCTTTCAAAGTGTTCGCTGCCAAAGCGCACACCACACATGCCACTTGACGTGTATCAGCTAGCCTCAAGTTGTATTGTAGCAGCTAGGACTATACATTGCAAGTACGTAGTGCAGGTGGAACCCAGTTTACGATGTAGTTAGACAAGTGCTGCTTGACATTGTCTTGGCATTTGGATCATTTTACATGTCACGGTTTGCGGGCATATTTCGGACAACACAGCGTTAGTTAGTAACTGTTGATCTCCTCAGACCTGAAGTTCATGGACGTCTGAGTACAGCTTCTAGCTTAGTCCTAGCTGCAAGCTAGTGATCATGGTGATTCCACTAGCTCTGAGTCTGTGTCTGTTCCGTTCCGTTCACGCTGGGTCGGCAACGTAACACACACTGTCACTGTCACCATTGGTCACTGGTGACCAGGTGACTGGATGCAACCACGCTTTCCAGCAAGATGCTACTGACTACTGAGTAACTGATTAGTTTGAAAGTCAAGAGTAGACTTACTAGTATGCCATGCAGCATGGTATACCAGGATCAGTGATTCTGTCCATCCATCACGTCGGTTCACCGCACTTCGTTCAGAATGGTTACCATGACTTTGTGTTTCACTGTGATTGTTTTGTTTTTTCGATGGTCGTTGACTTTTGTATAGTGTATCTGGTCTAGTCAAACTACGAGAAGCTTTCAACCAAAATCTGGGAGCTTCGTTGACGGAGTCGCCATGGAAGGGGAGGAAGTTGGCATTCGCCACCAAACAGACGGCGGCCAGAAGACAACCTACGGTGCCACGGGCAGTCGACCTAGTAGCGGTGATGAAAGAACAGCGCAGATAGCAGGAACCTCGGACTCTGCTCCAGTCGCTGCTACCGATGATGGGACGTCAGGCTTGAAATCCGCTCAGGGAGTACCTGCAGGGCCCTCTACTAGCTATTCCGATGCTGTTGGACTGTCTTCTAGGCGAAAAAAGGCGATCTTCCTCTGCCTAGCCCTGAACAGCACGTTTGTGATGATCTGCATCGCCGTGTTGCTCCCATTCTTTCCACAGCAAGCTGCAAAGAAAGACCCCAGTGACAGTGGTGATGTGCAAGGTGCCTCTGCTATTGGCTTCATCTTCAGCATCACCCCACTCGCACAATTCTTTGGTGCACTATTTGTTGGCAGGATTATACCGAAAACTGGACCGAAAATGGTTTTAATGATCGGTGGTGTACTGGTGGCAGGAGTGATCTCGCTCTTTGGGTTCGTGAATGACATAGATGACTGGGCAGATTTCTTGGTCATATGTTACGCACTACGCTTTGTGCAGGGCATTGCAGGTGCAATGAACATAACGGCCACATTCGCAGTCCTTGTTGGTCTCTTCCCGAACAATGTTAGCCTTGTGGCTGGTACGATCCGTGCATTCAATGGAGTAGGATTCGCAGCCGGTCCAGTCATGGCAGGAGCGCTTTATGATGCTGGTGGCTTCACTTTGCCATTTCTTGTCCATGGCGGTATCATGTTTGCTGGCACTATTTGGCTCTTTTTCACACTTCCCGGAGATGCTGAAGTTGGCACAGGGAAGAAAGGCAACAAGATGTTCAAAGACTCGTTTACAATACCATGGTCATTTGTGTGGTGCATGACAATGTTCATTTGCGGCACTACAATCGGTATGCTTGATCCTAATTTATCACCTTTTCTGGAGGACGAGTTTGGCTTGAGTGCAACTGAAATCGGCCTGGTCTATCTCGTCTTTGCTGGTACCGTTGCAGCCTCGGCACCAGTCACAGGCTATCTGGGCGATCGATACATCAATCCAAACAAACTCCAACCGCCAAGTATGCTCGTGCTGTGCCTTGGACTGGTCCTGCTTGGACCCTGGGCGGAAACAAACCTGACATCCAAGCTATGGAGGAGTATCATCAGCTTGGTGCTGGTGTCCATCGGGTTCTCATCTGGCATAACTCTAGCCACGCCAGGCATTCTCAATGCCATGCACAAGGCCGGATACGAAGACACACTGGAGCTGCATAGCAACCTTGGTGGCACTGTAACGGCACTATGGGCCGCCGGTCTCACCATTGGACCTACAGTAGGGACAACTGTTGTTAGTGCTATTGGGTTTCCCAAGACCAATGCTATCTTCTCCATACCTGTACTCTGTGTGGCAACACTCGGCTTAGCGGTGGGTGCTGCATATGCACTCAAGGATTTATACTATCGCCAAAGAACTGGCACCTATAGTCTAGAGCGGCAGCGGCTCTTACCATCCAAGGATCAGTCAACTGCAATGTGAATACCTGAGTCTATGCCAGTCAACTGCAATGTGAATACCTGAGTCTATGCCAGTCGAATGCAGTGTGGATGACTAAGTACGTGTACGTCCACATGCACGGTCCATTTTCCAGACCCTACAATTAATTTATAGGAAGTCACGGTGTGTTGTGCCAAAGTCGCTGCCACTAATAAAGTTGTACTACAATTTATATCCGTAAGCATATCGGCTGATTCTATATTCTATTTATTCCAATTATGTTAGCGCATGGCAGTGGCGAGCACTGCAGTAACACTGAGGTGTGTGCCCATTTCCCATGACATGGAGTGATTTTCATTAGACTGTGTGTGTGTGTGTGTGTGTGTGTGTGTGTGCGTGCGTGCATGCGTGCGCGCATGTGTGTGTGTGTGTGTGCGTGCATGCGTGCGTGCGCGCGCGCGCGTGTGTGTGTGTGTGTGTGTGTGTGTGTGTGTGTGTGTGTGTGTGTGTGTGTGTGCCATCATTCGAGGCCTCAGCGGCGGATGGTGGTGAAGGAATGTCGCTACATACCGGTATGTGGTCCTGTCTTCTCCCGCCCTGGACATTCCTGCTGCTGCTGCTCTGTCTGACACCGCTATCATCTTGATTGTGGATGACTCATTCAAGGTGTGTGTGTGTGTGTGTGTGTGTGTGTGTGTGTGTGTGTGTGCGTGCGTGCGTGCGTGTGTGTGTGTGTGTGTGTGTGTGTGTGTGTGTGTGTGTGTGTGTGTGTGTGTGTGGTAACTGTCTTGGCCGTTTTATGCCGATGTACTCCATGTGGTGTAGACCTGGTGTGCAATGGTGGTCGATTCATATGGCTTCGCCAGTTGTGTGGATTAGACAGTTATCTGGCGCAAGTCTTGATCTGTCTCATTCAGATCTTGTTCGCTATCGTTGCTATAAGAGAAAATCTGTGGGTACACATCCAGTGCATTTGCAGATTTGCGTGCTTCTCTTGCGACGGGCGTATACATGATACATGGTGTGTGTGTGTGTGTGTGTGTGTGTGTGTATGTGTGTGCCGTGTGTGTGTGTGTGTGTGTCACTGTGTGTGTGTGTGTGTGTGTGTGTGTGTGTGTGTGTGTGTCACTGTGTGTGTGTGTGTGTGTGTGTGTGTGTCACTGTGTGTGTGTGTGTGTGTGTGTCACTGTGTGTGTGTGTGCACATCCATACATGTATGCTGCATGCCATGGCACGTGTTTGTATCACTGATCATGAACATAAGGTCATTGGTTGATACGGCATGACAGCATTGCGTTCGCGGTCACATTCCATGAAAATGATGATAATCTCTCCATTATTCTCCCGTGCTATCCAGTGGACGGTAGAATGACTGAATTTCACAGGCTTGCGTTGGGCTCAGCCAGAGCACGGCATCTATGCCACGTGTTTTCGGCTTCTACAGCGCTCCTCGATGAAATCCAATCGCATGAGTCAGGTTAGTGCCAGGGCCCTGTACTATGCAATCCTAGGTCTGCGGACACTGAGATTTTTACTCCGCCGCTCAGGCGGCGCAAAGCATGACTCACTTGATAAGATTTCAGTGACTCTGCCGTAATGCAGCATGCATGCCGGGCGTCATAGTGTGTTCAGCTTCTAATACTGTACTGCTTTTTTATTTTTTTATCTGTGGAAGAAGTAGGGGAAACAAAGCGGAGACAACCGATAAAGATTTACTCGATATTCAAAAAGTGTAATCGTTTGAAACAATTTGTTTCACCCGTAGTTGTAGTAGTTTGAAAAATGCTTTTGTTAGCTAGCTACTAAGTATCTACTCACCTGCTCACTGTGAGATTGCCCAAGCTCCCTCGGCCCTCACCATGCATGCTCACCACATGCCCAGCCGCACAGTGTCAGTGAGCTCACTACAACTACAAGCAGGAATGGGCCAAGCCAGTGTGCACGGCATGCACTGGCAGCAGGGAGTAAAGAAGTAACAATGTCACTGACCTTACAAGGGAACTGTCCGGCCTGCCATAGGCTGTGTTCCAGGCATGACGCAACAGTCTGAACAAAGCTGGTATCTTCATCATGTCACTGTATACATGGTATAGCTGTACTGCACTACACTGTGTCACATACACAGTCTCGACCTCAACCTCGTGTGGCTCAAGCACTCCGATCCGGCAAGAATGGAATACAGTACAAAGCAAGATCAGGTCCAGGGATTTTTATGTGACCGTACGGAATGTTTGAATATTCGGGTCTTGTTTTCATTCAAACTGGATCATGGAGCGCATCGTCATCTGAGCGTTTCTTCCCCGACTACACTCCACAGCCAGTCACGTAGGAACCATTTTAGTCAGAGAGATCGAGACACTCCACATCGCCCCCCGGGCAGAGGAGGGTCGTGGCGAGTATTTCTTGATTCTTTTAATTTTCCATTCTGTCGCAGCACTATCAGACAGAGTGTCTATATTTTGTTATAGAAGTGCAGTTGGCCACTGTAGAATTTCAGCGTCATGCTGCATACGTCTGCTTGAGTTCTGTTTGCAGATCAGCTTGTAATTGGAGATTTCAAAATGTGTAGCTGTTACTAATAAAGTCTTTACCGTACGTGGCCATAGCCATACGTCACTACAAGCTGAACGGAGGGGATTTGCTAGAAAGCAGAAGTGCCGGCTGTGACTGACGCTGGATCTGGAATCATCAAGTGCATAGGAGGATACATGGTTACCCACCAACTATGGCTAGTGCAACAGATCATGTACCCGCCTCAACATACGGTGCCATCAATGATGATGTTGGTACGGCGGCGACAAACAGCGGTGCGGGGAACAAAGAGGATGAAAACGTAAAGATGTTCAGCTCTCGGCGGGACAAATTAGTATTTCTATGCCTGGCCGTAAACAATTTAATAGTGAGCATTTGTTTTGCAACTATGGTCCCGTTCTTCCCGACAGTGGCTGCTACCAAAAGTCCGTCGTATCATATTCCCACCACGCCAGCATCGCCAGTGACAACTAGCAATGGTAGCACAGTGGCACCTCCAGTCACAGCAACCCTGGATGAAACATCCAGCACTCTCATCGGATTAGTGTTCAGCGTGGCCACTTTCTCTGACTTCGTATTCTCGCCGATTGTCGGACATGAACTGCCTAAAGTTGGACCGAAACTCATCTTTCTTCTCGGCTGCATTCTAATTAGTGGAGTGACTATTCTGTTTGGATTTGTTGACATGGTGGATGACTGGAGTACGTTTCTGGGATTATGTTATGCACTGCGTTTTGCTCAGGGCATGGGAACTGCTTGCATGTTTACATCCTCATTCACCATCCTGGCCGGTGCTTTCCCAAAGTCTGTCGGCATGGTTACAGGGACATTAGAAGTGTTTAGTGGCCTTGGCTTCATGATTGGACCAGCCATTGGTGGTGCCCTGTATGGTCTTGGCGGCTTCAAGTTGCCATTCTTGGTGAGTGGTTCGACATTGGCAGCTTGTACAGGTCTTGTAGCAATCGTTCTACCAAGTCCTCCAGCCAGGAAAAAGCAAAAGGTATCATTGTTGACAGTGCTGTCTCAGCCACGCACGTGGCTTTTGATTCCATCTGCTCTGCTGTCTGCCTCAGCACTTGGGTTCTTGGATCCTAGTTTGAGCCCGTATCTCGATAAGGAGTTTGGCTTGTCTCCATCCAAGATTGGTCTGGTGTTTCTGACTGGTGCTGGCGTGTATGCTATTCTAGCTCCACTTGTTGGCTTCATTGGTGATAAGTACAGTACACGTCCATTGATACCACTCGGTCTTCTTCTCACTGGTGTCAGCTATCAGCTGCTGGGACCATCACCGTTATTGGGACTGCAACCAGCATTGTGGCGCACTATCTGTGGTCTAGCTTTGATGGGATCCGGTATAGCCCTGAGCCTGGTACCGACGTCACCTGATATGCTAGTGACGATGTGTGAGAAGGGCTATGAGGATTCCTTGGAGTTACATAGTGCTTTGGGCGGTGTAATGGGAGCAGCATTCTCATTTGGCGAGGGTCTCGGTCCATCTGTTGGAGGACTCCTGTTTGGTGCCGTGGGCTTTAGTGAGGCCGCATCCATATTTGGTGCCATGATTCTGGCTCACTCTGTTGTTGTTACTATCGGTACATTGCTAGGGCGTCTACGAAGGAAAAGTGTGGCTGTCGTCGATGCTAACATTCAGGATGAGACCAAAGCGTTGTTGCAGAGTGACAAGGATGATGATGCTGTCAGGGACCCTGAGCGAAACCCTAGAACAACACCGCGTATTCTGCGGCGCAGTTTGTCGCACTCGCGGGTGCCCACGTTTGACGCAAACATGGTGACTCCAACGAGTGTTTCCCGCTCACAGTCCACAACCAGTGCTGCTTGATGACATCACGTGACAGTGTAGCCGCCCAGTGTCATTCATGAACCTACACTGCACACGTAGTAGCAGTTATTTGAAATGCCTGACATTAATACTAACCAATTCTCATAGCCCCATGAAACTATCATAGTATGTGTAGCATCCGCTAGCAGGCGTGTTGGACGTAGTCTTCACGTCTTTCATCTTGTTGGTGCAGTACGAACCGCTTCTGCACGGATAGATAAATAGATAGATGTTCTGCAAGTCTTAAAAAAAGTTTTTAATGAATTTTTTAAAGTTTTATTTAGGTTACTACGTTTTGCGTTGTCATCTTTGTTGAAGTAATTAGTTGCCACGGCGTTTTTTTCCTTGGTGCTGGCCACTACAAGTAGTCTAAACACATCTCTGATGTTGCGCTAGTTTGCTGTATACCCCGACATGATAATTTCCTTCAACAAATGATTTACCCAGGAAAGATCCTACTTTGTCTTGCCACACTACTGGTGCATCCAACTATAATTATTACGATTGAAGACGTCCAACCCATGGCCCACCTGTTCTATTGCTCTTGAGTACCTGAACAGAGAAGTGGAAGCTATGCATATACAGTGGTCCCTCTATAATCCGGCACCATTTGTGCCACGAAAATCTGCTGGATTAGGGAGGGTGCTGGATTAACAATCTGATTTACTGCTGTAATGTGCATGAAGAGGACATTTTGGCTACTGAAAATTGTGCTGGTTTATCGAGGGTGCTGGATTATAAAGTGCCGGATTAGAGAGGGACGACTGTACAAGTACTTTGAAGTCACAGCGCTCCAGAACTTCTCTCTCTCTCTCTCTCTCTCTCTCTCTCTCTCTCTCTCTCTCTCTCTCTCTCTCTCTCTCTCTCTCTCTCTCTCTCTCTGTGTCTCTGTCTGTCTGTCTCTCTCTCTCTCGTGGAAATTTTGAATCAGTGGAGAACATGTGAGGTTTTTCTTCACACTGAAATGGACACGGTAGGGTGGATACTGGATAAACACCCGGATTGGTATGAACGTTATGTCCAGCACCTGTGTGGAGTCAGAGGGCTCCCTACAGTAGGTGTCCTTCTTTAGCTTCAGCCAAAATACATGCCCACCGATGGTCCGTAAAGTCTGTGGACAGTGGTGCCGGCAATCCACGGTTTTGTATACACTTCATGCATGACTACTTTGAATAGGCACCACTTGTTCTCCACTAAATCAGGATCCTTAGAGGGCAGCGTCGCGGACCATCCACATGCAAAGGATCAACAGGTTCAGCGAAATAACTCAAAACACAATGATCAGAGCAGAGCACAGCAAAAAAGGGTTGAGTACAAGACTTAGTACATAACGTTACAGGAAAATCCATCCGTGACAGTACCGTTGAAATCTAGTACTTCGAAGTAGCAAGCCTAAAGCAACAAAACTGTACACAGCGTATACAAACCAATGACTGGGTGCTGCACAGCAGCACCCAGTCAGTTAACTAATTTAGATACCTTTTTAGTACCAAATGTGTGTAGTTCATCAAACAGCAGGCGGACATGCTTGCAACATACCATCGCCAGTGCTTTATGTGGTGAATAACTAACAACCTACGTTCTTCCAAAGGAAATGTACAGAGCAGTGACAACAGAACAGGAACACAGGCAGGAAGAGCCAGTTTTGAGAAATATTTTTATAAAAAAAAATTGTCATAATTACTTGAAGTAGGTGCACAATGTCATGCACATCAACACAAACATGATTGTGTGCGTCCTGTCATTACAAGTAGTACAAACATGATTGTGTGCGTCATGTCATTACAAGTAGTACTCTAAGCTAAAGTCTAAAGTCCCTCCAGGACGATTGCAGATGCACCACCGCCACCATTGCAGATGCTGGCACATCCCAGCTGTCCCTTCTTCAGCTGATGGGCCAGGTGAACAACAAGCCTGGCACCAGACATACTGCATGCAAGCACAACAATGTTTAAACAGAAAAAGAAAGAAAGAAAAAGGAAGTTGTTGGCAAGAACCAGTCTAGCCGATAGGGTGGCTACACCGTGCATACACTGTCTTTTCTATTCTATATTGTCCCCAGCTGTTACTACTGACTGTAGAAGAACCCTATTCATACAAGTAATCGAAGCATCTACCTTGAATTAGCACATGCCACAACGGGCGTAAACGAGTAGTCTAGAATTACCTTCTACCGCACACACCCTGAATGTTGTGTACAGGTTCCAATACCTGTAACACTAACTGAACGCACATGACGCGCAATACAATAATTATTATGTGCATCCGCTATGTACTTTGTATTCTTCTAAGCGTGCTGTTCCCTTACACAGACATACCGGCACAAGCTGTGTATTATACACTTGCATTTGCACATGCCTACTGCTAGAAACTGGTCATATGGGTTCCCTGGGAGAGCGCAGAGACATTCGAATGTAGCATAGACCCAGTGATAGTGCACAACACAGGTACTGGTATGGCACTTACCCGATTGGATGGCCGAGTGAGACAGCACCGCCATTGATGTTGACTTTCTCTGCTGGAACACCGAGCAGCTTGATATTTGCAAGGGCGACCACGCTGAAGGCTTCGTTGATTTCCCACATTTCAATATCATCAGCACTGACTCCAGCGTTCTGTTACAGTATGCACAGACACATACACGGAAAAAAATAAAGCTGAAAAATAGAAACACACTGCAAGATTGCTTCAAGTGGGCAGGTGCACTCAATTCTGGTTCCATTTATAAGTAAATTTTCTATTTCTTCGAATATCAGTGTTCGTTTTTTCTACGATAGCCGCCGAAGTCTCAATATCTCAGTTTGCATCAATATCACAGTTTGTATCAATGTTCAACTGGCAAAATACTCTGAAGGCCAATGAATAGCAAGACAACGTTGATAAGACTGCCACTCATGCACCCCACTCCACAGTCAACAAGGCACACGCCACACAGCCATAACAATACCTTGAGAGCAATAGGGACAGCACCGGATGGAGCAATGGGAAAGTCGATGGGATCCATGGCGGCGTCTGCGAACCCACGGATCTTTGCCAATGGCTTGGCGCCGGTGCTGGAGACAGCTGCATCACTCATTAGGACAACAGCAGCAGCACCGTCGTTGAGTGTGCTGGCATTGGCAGCTGTGACAGTACCATCTTTGGATTGGAACACTGGTCGAAGACTGGGGATCTAGTGGAAAAATTGATCAGCACATACACACGCGCGTGCGCGCACACACACAATTTTTTTTCCAAGCCAGAATGTACCTTCTCCATGGCCATACAATCCGCCACGATATACCTGTCCTAATTCTGGAAAACGTGGCCGGTCTTCGAACTGCCCATCCTTGGATTTTTACGGCCTCGGATGTGGCAAGGGAGAATTGCATGGGTCACACAATGCCGGATGTACAGTTGTTTTCACTATACCTACCACTAGTCTATGTGCGAAGCACCAACAAGTCAGGGTGCTACTTTCGGATGACTGGGCTGTAGTACATGAACAGTTACTAGTAGCCTGAGTCGTGTCAGAAACAAGTAGCAAGTTGTTACTTGAAGTGTTGAGTAACACTGAGGCTAAGACCTGCCATCATCAGCAGGTCACTACATGTACTATGCCCAATTCAGTAGAAATTACTAGAAAGACATCAAAGTACATGTAGAGGTCCCAGGTGAGAATATCGCACCATGTGTAGGTCGGCGCTTTGATGATTCACACCTTAAAGCACGAGTACAAAACCTAGAGCCCAGCTTCATTTTACCATTGCTGTCTGAACAAGTGAACACCAGTCAGCTCTGCCATGGATAGCGCATCATACCTTTTCAAACTTCACCTTGCGGAACTCCTCGTCTTCAGCGACGACAATGTCTGGTTTTCCCCGGCCTGGCGAGACCGTTACTGGTGTGATTTCGTTCTTGAAAACCTGGGCCTCTGTTGCTGCAGCGCTGCGTTTGTAGGATTGAATGGCGTACGCATCCTGTTCCTCACGGCTAAAACCATGGACCCTGGCAGTGTTCTCCGCACAGCAGCCCTGAGCAGTGAGTGAGATTTAAGATTTCAGAGGGTCAAGTGTCAGCAAAGGTGAGTTCAAAAATAATTCCACTGAATTTATATGATACGTGCAGTTCCCTAAATCCATGTAATGTTGACTAGTAGTCAAATGAACATCTCAAGATATCTACGTTGCGATCTCGGTCTCATACCACTATGGTGATAGAGAGTTCTACACAACCCACTCACCTACCAAGTACATGCAATCACTTGTACACAATGTGAACATCTGAGGATACCTCTGCAGGTCCTGTTGCCGTACACTATCCTCTGTGCACATAAGCACGTGCATGCATGTGTGTGTGTGTGTGTGTGTGTGTGTGTCATCAGCCTTGCAAGCTGTTGAATGATGCAATCCCAGCACTAGTTGCTAGGTCTAACATAGCTGTTCGCTATCATTGCTTCTGCGATGGGCAGGTCTGAGGTCTGAGGTGTGTGTCCCTCCCCTCTCTGAAGAAGACCCACGTGACCAGTTTTGGCAGTGAGCAAGTACAAATACAAGTGTGTGCGTGCGTGTTGATCTGTTTCAATCAGATCTTGTCCGCTATCGTCGCTATAAGAGAAGTACTGTGGGCATCCATCCAGTGCATTTGCAGATTTGCGTGCTTCTCTTGCGACGGGGATACATGGTGGTGGTGTGTGTATGTGTGCGCGAGCATGTGTCTGTGCACGTGTCTTTGCATATGTATGTGCATGTGTGTACTGCATGTCGCAGTTCAGGTGACATGTGCTTGAACTTTACTGAAAGGCACAATTAGAACCACTCACTCATGTCTAGCTAACTGAAACAGGATGGCTCTAACCTAATACCTCTTGCCCCTTAGGTCAGAATTGACTATGGGCCTACAAGTATGAATATTATCGTCTTGACGTCAGCGACTCAAGATACCGAAAAAAAGAAATAACTGATATCATAGGTCGCATTGATGCAGTTCATGACTGCAGATCCCATTTGCAGGACTTGTTGAAAATGACATAAACAACTAATTCCGGATTCCCGAACTCACATGTGGAGTTGGTCACTGTTGGACACTCGGGCCTCTACCTGCTCTGGCTACAGTGGTGGCCAGGGTCAGGCCTCTACCTGCTCTGGCTACAGTGGTGGTCAGGGTCAGGCCTCTACCTGCTCTGGCTACAGTGGTGGTCAGGGAGTCGCAGCATAAAGGCAGAAGGCATGGCCGACTATAACACTAAATCATGTGGGTTTTGACCCTGGGGTTGCCTGTTACAGTTGCCCTGGGGCAGGGCCGAATGATACACGTTCTCTCATACGGTATCGTTTGTCTGGGCCGCGCTTGGGTCAGCAGGCCAAGGCCGCGATCGCCAGTTGTATAGACCACGGGTCAAATAGAACTTCCAAATCTGGGGTCAAACGCACATCATTTCGGATATTAGTACTATGAGTATGATCTGCCTATATTTGCCTATGCTACGACCTGTCCCTGGTGGTAGTGGTGCGGTAGTGGTACTATGCATTCCTGTCACTACATGATTGTGCAAGGTGGTGCATATCGGCATTGGATGAACTGCCAAGGTACAAAGGTACATTATGTGCTACATGGTACATGACGGTGTAGCATTGCATGTGTGCTTTGTAGAACAGCCCATCCCCTACCTACCATATGAAACTGGTTGTAGACATCAGTGAGGCCATCAAACACAATGCCATCCACTGCTTTCTGATCACCATAGGCAAATCCACTTCTTGCTTTTGGCAAGTAGTACGGTACGTTCGACATACTCTCCATTCCACCGGCAACCATGATCTCCTGACTACCAGCCTTCAGACCTTGGCTTGCCAGCATGATCGACTTCATTCCTGACGCGCACACTTTGTTGACAGTTGTGCAGGGAATGGTCTTGGGCAGATCTGCAAACAGGGTTGCCTGACGAGCTGGTGCCTGACCCGATCCAGCTTGTAGAACATTTCCCATATACACCTCACCTACTTGTGTTCCCTCAATACCCGCCTGTTCCACAGCACTACGAATCACTGCAGCACCCAGACGAGGAGCAGGGATGGAAGCCAGAGCTCCCTGAAAGCTACCGATGGGTGTGCGGGTTGCACTGACGATAAAGACTTCATTCGCCATGTTCAGTCTGAGCGGGGATGATGAAAATGATCTTGAACAAAACCTGATCGGTAAAGTTGCCGTCGACAATAGATAGTTTGCTCTTCGAGTGGCCATCCTCGACGTTTGTCTCCACAGAATGAAGAAAATTGAAAAGTCGAAAAATCAACAGCTTGTGAAGCTGTACACAGTCATGACTCAGGCTAGCTGTGACCACTTTCAGACACGTGCAAAAACAAAACTTTCACGTGCATTCCAGCCGTGGCGCGACGAAATCACATGGCTTTTTGAGAATGGCAAGATGTATGGTGTCACGTCAGAGCATGGTGCGCACTGTCAGAGCCCTAGGCCCTGTACTATACTGCTGTGTGTAGCTAGCTAGCGACACTACGGTACAGTTGTTTGTAATAGTCCGTGAGCCAAAACTCAAAATCACAAGTGCCGTTGCACTCTCGGATGGACAAATCGCCGCTTACAGTGTTGGTCAAGGACATCACAAAGGATACGTTTTCGCTTGTTGGACGTTCCAGAACCGATCCAGAGACCTTCGCGAGGGCTTCTTTTCTCGACCAAATTCCACCGTGAGAACGAATATTTTTACGCGAGTGGTGAGGTGTGCGTCGTATGAGCAAGCGCAAAACACGAGTTCGCGTAGAGTGAGGAAAAATAATTTATTTTTAGAAGATGACGACGTTGACGACAATATCGACTTGGGATATTGTGATCACTTTATTGAAGTTTATTCCTTTCGTGTACATTGATGTTGTTTTGACAACAATGGAAGAAGAGGAAGACGTTTCTAGTGGCAGCGAGGTGCTGGATGAGGCAGCTGACGGCAACGAAGTGGCAAATGACAGCCCAGCGGAGTAATATTGCTGGAATTTTGTGTCTGTGTCACAGCGCCCAATTTAGTAAAAACGAGAAGCCTGCAGTGAGTAATATCGAGACTACAAGTTGGTGTCGCATCGTCAGCGCTGCTCGAGAGAAGGACGACCATATCTGGGCTTTTCTCTGCCAGCACAAGAGCTCAGGGAGGAGTAAATGGTGTGGCTGGTATCATGAAAAGTGCTACACCAATTGCACCCATGTGATAGCAATTGCAAACCTGGAGAAGACCAGTGCCTCTGATTTTGCTTTGTCTATACTTGCTGACAGTGATGTGCATGTAGTAGTGAACCCAGAGCCACATCCTAAGGCCAGTAAGGGGCTACCTACCAGGAGCTTAGTGGTTGATACGAACAACGAATGCCATACCGGTGAAAGCAGAGCACGGTGTAAACACAACACGGAGAACTGGTCCACCCAGAGTTTCCGGAAGGGAATGTTTTGTTGCAGGCAGCACTGGAGAGGGCAAGACGACAAGTAGCGAGGGCGAAACCAGCGCTGCTGGAGGTCCAAGCCAGAGCACCTGGCTGCTTTGCGGGCAACATACTACTGTATACCATTAGCTGTGTATGTGTGTGTGCGCGCGCGCGTGCATGTGTGCGCGTGTTTGTGTGTGTGGGTGCGTGCATGTGTGTGTGCGTGTGCATGCGCGTGCATGTGTGTGTGCGCGCGCGTGCATATGTGTGTGCGAGTGTGCATGTGTGTGCGAGCGTGCATGTGTGCGCGCGCGCACGTGCATGTGCGTGCTAGGCGTTTTCCTTTGTTGGTGACACCACCCCAGGCTACTACTGGTGTTGGGGCACGGTGTTGCCACAGCCACTGCGGCCAGTGCGATCCGTGTTTCAGGTCGTTGGTGGGTTTTAGATTCCGCAATTGTCGACAAGGTGTGCGCCGTGTGTGTGTGTGTGTGTGTGTGTGTGTGTGTGTGTGTGAAACCCGACAGCATTGGTGTGATGTTGTCCGAAGGGACATCCATCACTTACATCTTGAAGGATATTGGTTCGACACTGCACAGCAGCGAGGAGAGTGGCGCACAGCATTCAGAATTGCTTCACCACCACAGCCGGCCTCCCGTGATCGGATTCAGTGTAGTATTTGTAACATTTCCTTTTCGAAGAGCGGCCTGCCATGCCACAAGTGTACTCAAGAGCGTCGCAAACCTGTAGCAGACCAGTCTGGCAGCAGCCAATGCACTGTATGTCTTCGCTGGTTTCGCAGTCATGGCAGACTGACATAGTCGGATTCGGCAGCTGGTTCATGTGTGTGTGTGTGCGTACGCACGCGCGTGCCTGGGAGACTGCATAGTCGCATTCGGCAGCTGGTTCATGTGTGTGTGCGGGCACACACGCGTGCGCATAAGCGTGTTTGTGCGCACGTGCCTGGGAGACTGCATAGTCGGATTCGGCAGCTGGTTCATGTGTGTGTGTGTGTGCGCACGCGCGCGCGCGCGTGTTTGTGTGGATTCGGCAGCTGGTTCATGTGTGTGTGTGTGCGAGCGTGCATGCCTGGGAGACTGTATAGTTGGATTCGGCAGCTGGTTCGTGTGTGTGCGCGTGCCTGGGAGACTGCATAGTCGGATTATTCAGCTGCTTCAAGTGTGTGTGTGTGTGTGTGTGTGTGTGTGTGTGTGTGTGTGTGCGCACGCGTGTGGGTGCGCCGCGGCATGCATGCATGTATGTATGTGACATCATGTTATATCGGTAGTTATCTGTGGATTACTATGTTCTGCGGTGGACTGCGACAGCACACATTATGTGCCAAGATGTGCACCTGGTGATTTGCAACTGTGTTATGTTGAGTTGAAAATGAGCAATGACAGATAGCTTTTGGTGCTGTATGAGTGTGTTAGGAAATCAATAGCCAATTCCAACCTCTTGCATTGGCCGTCAGGTTGGATAGGATCAGCGCGTGCATTTACAACAGTGTGGTGACGTACTTCCTATTGTACTACTGTAATGTCACATTAGCTTCAGTGTTCATATAATAATAATACTGGAGTATTCTACGTATTCACTACTATTCAGTAATCGAGTGGTTATTACTTTTGAAATATACTTCACTCACCAATTCATTGCTCGCTATTATCTACAAGTTCCAGTCCAGTATGATGAAGTAAAGAGGCGATTTATCCAGCCAAGTAGAGGAACTTGGGATACGAAATCCAAGAGAAATCATGAGGGTTTTCTCAGTTCGGCCATTCACGAATGTAATTGTTATTCTTCAACGCAAACTGAGTAATATTTGACCTTGAACAGGATGAAAAGAAGTTCATGCTCGGGGCAGTCGTCATTTGCTCCAGAAGGTTACTCACTACAGTCTACGCCGATTGGCCTAGGAAGTCGTGAACAAATATGTCGAGAGATATTTAGGACATTCTTGGAAGTCAGTTCTGAACGATTGCATTGTAACTACAAACAGTAGTGACTTTGCTGCATGCAGTTTGCATCCCGATTCATAATTCTCAGCGGCAAAAAAATTCGAATCTAGTTTTGTGCACTGGTTTCCGCGTTATGTGCACTCGTGGTATCTGCTCATGGCTTCAAAAAATGAGAATCCGTGAACAAGCGCAAAAATATCAAGCGAAGAAGGCGAAAATGGCCGCTGCTGTCAGTGAGCAAAGTTGGATGTTTGGCGTCTTCTGTGACCTCCCTGGATCAGTTTCGAACTGTCCAACAAGTGGAAATCGCTTCAGGATACCATCGTGAAGCGGTGTGCCGAAGGACGATTTGTCCCTCTCTGGGTGCAACGGTCGATGCTAAAACAGCCGATTCTGAGATTTGGCTCACGGACTATAACATGTCTTCTCGTACTCGTACTCAAGTAAAGACGTACAGTCACTACGAGTCTATCGCACAGGTATCGCGCGTGTCCTGTACCGCGTACCGGCATAATCTCCGGAGCTACCTACGCAAAATTTTGCACGTCAGCTGGCAGTCGACCATGTACCAGCGCTTTATTATTGCGCCTCCTTTCAAAAAAAAAGGAAAGCTAAAGTAAAGGGAAAGAAGATCAAAAGACACTGCTTGCTGTGCTTCATCACCCTACGTCCACTTTCCTTAGACTCAGACAACATGAAGGTATAGCGGTGGCGTGTGCTCTTCTCAAGTCGCTGGCAATAGAGCTTATCAGCGTCAAGTTTCTAATTTGTTTCCCAATTTGTTTGTCTTTCGTTGAAACTATTGGTATTTTTGAACATTTCAGGTGACCGTTCTGTCTTCCTCTGGGAAGACTATTCTCGAGTTAAAAGAGGTAAGTCCGTTTCCTTCAATTTTCCAGAAATTATGAAAGGCTTTTGCATTTACTGGGCAAGTTTCGCACTCAATACACACAATTTACAAAAATGTTACATTTGACGACCCAATAAGGCACTCAGGAGAGGGGGGGGGGGGATGAAACAGTAATGGTGCAGTACCCCGTGGCAAAACAGTGAGCTGGAAGAATGTAATGACAATACTTCCCATGCACACCTACACATCGGTCAAGATAGTAAAAAAAAAAAAAAAAAAAAAAGTAAATTATCGTATCCGTTCCCGAAGGGAACTCACGACGGCCGCTAACACCCGATAAACCCTAGCGGCAGATGCAGCGCCTAACGGTGGGGGTGAGTGGGTAAGTCTCACAACCACTGGCACAAGTGCCGAAAACGACCCCATTAGCTGCATCCATGTACCCCTTGTGCCTGGCCACAAGTTCCCAGTTGACTGTGGGTAGCAGCACGGCTGGAAAAACCGCTCCCAGGCAGGACTTGAACCAGGTACCTCTCGTATCTCAATCATGATCTTTGACCAACCCACTGTGCCTGCCTGGTCAAGATAGTAAATTGCTATGAAACGGACACTCCGTTGCGGCATTTTCATGCATGCATGTAGAACGCATATCCGGGCGTAACACCAAACAAAGACCGTCTGTACATGGGAGTTTAGCAATGCATTTCATTTGTATGGGCGGTGCCTCACCAAGAGGGTAGATTTAATCCTTGTTTTGGAATCGGTTCTTTTTTTTCAATCCACGTAGAGCGGTTTGCAAACCTTCTAATTATTTCTTGGTTTCACTGTGGCCTGTAGAATGGGAGCTATGTATAGTAAACCACAGCTATGTATAGTAAACCACAGCTATCAAGAGTAGATAAACAAGAGTGTGCAACTCCGGATCTCTCCTGCACAATCTGCAGATACCCCGCGCCCACGGCGGAATTTTTTGGTTACGTCACCTTTTTTCAGAGAAACGCGGCTTTGCCGCATAGAGCAGTGTGAGAGCACGTGCTGGGCACAGACCTTGTAGTGTAAAGCCCAGCCAAGTGCACGAGGGAAAACTCTCCAAAAGGCTCGCAGCGCGTGCGTCGTCGAAAAGATTACGTCAACAAAAAATTCCGCCGTGGGCCAACTCATCCGCGAGTTGCACACTCTTGTTTATCTACTCTTGCAGCTATGTATAGTAAACCACAGGGGTAAACCACAGGGGTAAACCTTATGTACATTGTACAGATGTATGAATTGCCGTAGGTGTGTACATATTCGGTTGGCTGTTCATTGTGTGCTATATACCAGCGCATTTGACCAGTTTGGCCCAATATGAGTACTCGATGGCAAACAGTCGCTTTTCCAGCTTCATCACTAGGGATAGAGCTAGTGACTAGCTGGCTCTTCGTCCGGAAAAGATTGTTGCATGAAATGCCTGCAGGCAATGTTTCGTAGTGGAAAATACAGTTAACACAACAGGGTTTTGTACATTCAACACCCAACCGGGCCTACAGGATTCTACGGCATCTTACGGCGTTTCGTCAATGTGCATCAGGCTTATCTTCCTGGCATCTGGTTTCACGGGACAAGTCCGCTCCAGCCATACACATGATCAAGAATAGGGGTTATGTATGATACCAGCCCCTGCATGTATGATACCAGCCCCTGCATGTATGATACCAGCCCCTGCATGTATGATACCAGCCCCTGCATAAAAGGTCATGAACTGTGTACAGTCATACTCACAAGTGTGCTCAAGCTGGCGGTACCTGCCAAATATGGGACACGTTGTAATGGTGTTCGTTAAGCAATAGAGAGGTTCCGCACTACGTAAAGTTAGTTGAGCAACTTTACGTTAGTGGGCAGGAAAAACCCGTGAATTCGCGAGTTTGCACTCCACTTACGGAAAGTTGTCTACGGAGAGTACGTAGATAGGGCTCTGATAACGTAGCTGGTCCGTAAGTGGATTGGGGTACACATTTATGACTCTCTCGGGAGTCTCTCCCCCTGTCGATCTGGTCGTACACTGCCGCGTTCGGAGTTGCCAAGGGCAGCTACGTGATTTGAAAACTCCGTATGGCGGAACCCAGATGCGGATGCAGTTTACGTAAGACTTTCCGTAGATCGACTACGTTTTTTACTAACGTAATTACGTTATGCGGAACCTCTCTAATAATTCAGACTTTTTTGTTTTATTGCCAGACCCTCCAGACAGCTGATTTGTTCCTTCAATGCTCATCAGTGGATGTGGAATATTGACTAAATTCAAAGAATATAGGAATGGTGCCAGAACCGTAGTTTGTAGAGAGTGGCACTGTTCATGTATGTATTTGCGTCTCTTTGTGTGCTTTTGGTACTATCCTGCTGCTGCTGTTCTCAGCTCGAGGAGGGCATGACAGTGCGTGAGCTGAAGAATGTCTTCCACCGGCACAGTATGTTCTCTTTTCTTTATCATCGGAACCTGCATTTCGTGTGTGCGATGTGTTTGTGTTGTGATCAAGTTCGACATGTCAGACTTGTCAAAGGTTGTCATACAGGCTTATGCACAGTTCCGTTCACCAGAGTGCATGCACTGGCATGTATTACATAAGGCAGTGCATGCACTGGCATGTATTACATACAGCAGTGCATGCACTGGCATGTATTACATACGGCAGTGCATGCACCGGCATGTATTACATACAGCAGTGCATGCACTGGCATGTATTACATACAGCAGTGCATGCATCGCTCCAACACCATGCGTTGACCTATTATTAGGCACTTCAGGCGGTTTTTTCAAAACCAGAAATACTCGTATTTCTTTCTTGTATCGGATTCAGATAGGTTTAGGAAGACTCCACAGAAAATTTGAAGCAAAAAGAATAACTTGGCACAGAGATATAGCCATCCAAAGTCGGAGAATTGAATAACGGCAATTTCAGTATTTCGACGGCACCAGCAGCATATCAGAAATTGGTAGGACTTGCTTCAGTGTCTATAGTGGCAAAATACCAGGCTCGCTGGAAGCAGGTCAAAATAACCAGATGAATGCAGAAACAGCATGGTTTGGAAAAACTTCACATTTTTCATCCGTCCAGCAGCTCAGACGAAGATATCGGGTGTGGTCACCATGGCAACTCCATAGCAACTCCATCGCAACAGCATGAAAACAGTGCAGAGAAGCCTTTGGAAAAGCATAAGATGAGACTTTGAGGTAAGATAAAGTAACTACAATAATTCAGTGCCAGAACACATTGTTGCTACATGTACAGTACTGAAGTGGTGACGAATACGGAAGAACAATGAGCCGAAGACTGAGCAAACTAGAATTTTACCGCGTATTTGACGGAAAGAAATGACAAACTATTACATGTAGAACATCGTTTGCAAATGTTTGGGACTACTGAAACTTCAGCAACTCCAGCATGAGAGATTTTGTGCATAGAGTGTGTGCTGGATTCTTGGTATAATATCACCGTCAATGCTTTTCTTGGTCGCTGGAAGCCACCTGCTGATCAGCTGACGATTTGTTCCAAGCAGGCCGTTTTGATGTCAGCTCTCTTGGTCCAGTCGCCGAAGTATATACTGTCCTACTCGTCGCCTGCAGGAGAGGACGACTGCTCCGATGCGACTCCAATAATTATAACACCTGGCAATATTTCTTCTTGCGCAGCCATGCGCATGGGCTCCGACGAACAAGGACTACTGCCGGGAGGACGCCTGTCGCGGCTCGCTTTCAATAACACCTCGCATTATTTCTTCTTGCGCAGCAATGCGCAAAGTGTTGGACAAACGAGGACAACTGATTCCGAAAGGAAATACGACGCTGAAGACGATGAGCTACATGGCAAATGCGTGCAATCAAGTGAAATGCCCGAAAAATCCTTGCCGATTTTACTCGAACTGTACGTGAGTTCAAAAAATTGCCGCATCATGACGTATGTGGGCTCAAACGAAAGCTGAGGGCCTCAGCTACACGCTGCGCCACACGAGAAGGCCCTGCGCAGCTTCCGTGCAGCTAGAGATCGATCTATGCATGCGCCTTTCCGCGGTGCCACGCATGTACGCGATTCAGCGTTAGCACTTTTTGACAGGTCGTGTCACGTGACTGAAGTGCCTACTATTATACACGGAAGCTGCTTTGCAGGTAGAAACTCGACAGGGACCGAAATAGAGGCTGTGAATCAATGATCCTTTACCGTACCTGTATGGTGAGCTCTTTTCTGAAATGCATTGTGTGTGTCTGTGTGTCTGTCTGTCTGTGTTTCCTGTTCCTGGATCCCAACCAAGAGTCCAGCTTGTATCCCTCACGGCAGATGTTTCGACTTGAACCAAGTGAGTTACTCCAACTGGTGCATTGCTCTCTTTCGTTTTAGACACCCGTATCCATCGCACGCCTTCCAGATCTAGGAACAATATTGTTACGACAGCCTATTGTGTGCATGTGAAGCCCGTCATTTGGCCATGGCACTCATGGAATCTGAGCAACTGTGGTGCGTGCGTATGCCTCCTAGTATTACCTCTTGCTGAAGACACATGTAGTGCCTGGGAGGTACAATGTACTGCACACATGTATGGCTTGTCTGTAGATATCTGCCTAACGTATCGCCCCATACCATTGCTACATTGCGTACGGCTGCTCTGTACTGTAGGAAGTTTGCCATTGTCACACCGCGCTTTCACCATCTAAGTGCCAGACTTGTACCTGGCATGTTTGCAAGGCTTTTTTTGTCCCTGGTCAACTTTGCTTCTTTCCAATTTGTTCACTTCACTGTGTTGCCCTGCTCCAACTCCTGAAACAGTGATGTGTGACTGTGTGCATGTGTGTGCATTTATTCAAAAGAGAGTCCTGGTCTAAAGGATGATGATACACTGGCACAACACAATATCAGAGACGGCAGCTCCCTGTACTTCAAGGATCTAGGTGAGGAGGCACCCAACCAGCCATAGTGCTTCTCAGGCATTCTCTTGCTGCTATTGTTGTTCAAGTTCTGTATGTACTTGCCACGTAGCCCTTTGTACCTTCCAGACCTAGACTGACAGAGTGTGTGCTATGTGTCAGCATTTTGCTGGTGTGTAATTTAATGTCGGTTGGATTGAATGGACTCCATGCTGCACACATTTTGCTATTCTTATGAACAGTATCAAGAGCACTATGTACTCTTGGCAATATGTTTCACTGTGGTCATTATTGATGTCACCTTTGCTGCTGCTATTGTTTTTGGCTTGCCATTCCTGTAATTTACCTACAGTGCTGGTGTATTGTTGTTGTTGCTGCTGCTGCTGCTTTGTATATGGTGTATATGGTGTATTGTTTGTCAGGTCCCCAGATTGGCTGGTCTACAGTATTCTTGTCTGAATACACTGGTCCACTGGCTGCGTACATGCTCTTCTACTTCCGGCCAAGCTGGATCTACGGCTCTGCTGTGGCACAAGCCAGCTATCACAATGTTGTGCAGTAAGTGTGAATTGTACAACAGTCATTACATTGAGGCATGTGATGTATTGCTGCTTGTCCAATGCTATCTCGACTGACATGCAGTAACTTCCCTAATCCGGCCACGTCTGTCTACCGGGCACCTTTCTCACCCATCTCGAGTCAGAAGAATTGGCTTTTCAACACAAAAAACTGCCCCAAAACTATTGAAATGGGAATGGGATAAACTTCAAATTCATAGTAAACAGTCGGGAGAAGTGAACTGCCAGAAAAGTGAGAAAAAAAGCCTGGTAGGGTTGGCATTTTTTCAAAACCAATGGCATAAAAATGTTTACCTGCATGCAGTAAGTAATAAAACTAAGTATGTATGTTCTGAGTAACGGGCAATCCCTAGTACGGGCAGTGCTCGCTTCCAACCTGCCCGGATTAGGGGAGACTGTACGTATTCATGATTATGTACCTACACTAGGCTGTCAGACGTAGAACATCTGAAATCAATCATGTCGGTGCTTCTTATAAAACGAGTGTTTTTCAAATTTGTTTAAGAGGCGGGTGACATGCGCTGGCAGCATGCATGACTTTGTGGTTATCATGCCATTGGCCTAGTGAGCAAGCCCATGCAGCTTAGTCAAGTAGCTCGAATATGAAACACCAGTTGGCAAAAGTCCAGAGTTTGTTTCCGTTTTGGTTGTTGCTCTCTACCCAACATAACTGCGTGTCCAAGGAGAAAGTCGGGCACCTTGGTTTGTCTCTCTCTATCTGTCTACCTATCTTTCTCTCTCTCTCTCTCTCTCTCTCTCTCTCTCTCTCTTTCCCTCTCTCTCTCTCCCTCCCTCTATCTTGGTCTCTCTGTCTCTCTCTCTCTCTCTTCTTTTTTACTAAGTCCACTATGCTCCCGAATGAATTCGGAAAGTGGTGGCGGGGCCCTGCTGCTCAGCCGACCTTGGTGGTCTTGGCGCCCGCACAGACAAAGCCTCTCTCTCTCTCTCTCTCTCTCTCTCTCTCTCTCTCTCTCTCTCTCTCTCTCTCTCTCTCTCTCTCTCTCTCTCTCTCTCTCTCTCTCTCTCATATTGTAGCCACAGTATAATATTATATGTGTGGATGTACCTGTTTGTTGTTCAGTGTTGCTGCTCTCTGCTGGACCTTTCATTACCTGAAGCGTGACCTGGAGACACTGTTTGTGCACCGTTTCTCCAAGGGCACTATGCCAATCCTCAACTTGTTCAAGGTATGTTTGACAGGGGGCTGTAAGTGAGAAGCCGGGGAGGGGAGGGGTATTCTTCAGTAGCCATACTGTATTGACACTGTACATGGAAAGCGGTGAGAAGTGGTATAGGCCTTGAATAACAATGTGCTTTCGCCATTCACAGGGGACAGGATGCAATGCCATGGTTGTAGCTATTCACCATCAGAGAGCTGTAACATCGGAGATGACGCAAGTGAATGGAACATGAAATGATGTAGGTTTTGCTCACTCAGGTGCAGGATCAACTTACTAAGTATGCCCACTTGCATATGGCACTGCTTGTCTGGGACAGGGCCACGGTAGGGTTGGCAGGACACCGCGATGACCGGCAGTTGCACTGATCATGGGTCATGTAGAACTTTAAAATCACGGCTCGAAACGCATATCGTTTTGGATGCTAAACCTATGGTCATGTGCTATCTCCTTCAATACTACGACCCCCTGCTCAGCAAATGCATAACAGTGCAATGTCAAAATGGTGTTTAGCCACGGCCGCAATTTGCCGGACTATTGTGTCTGGTCTGTCTCCTCCGTTCCCCGAGTTGATGCCACTCACATGTTTGGTCCTGTGTGTGTGTGTGTGTGTGTGTGTGTGTGTGTGTGTATGCTTCCGTGCATGTGTGTGTATGCTTCCGTTCATGTGTGTGCGTTTGTGTATTGGTCGTTTGATCCCCATGCGCTTATGTACACTCCCACTGTCCGTATTTCTATGAACTCTCAGAACTGCAGCTACTACTGGTGAGTTGGTTTTCATCTTGGCAGTTTGTGAGCTTCTCTCTGTGTGTGCTGTGTGTTTGCGGGTGCGGTATGGAGCCGCTCTAGAATTAGAAGCCAAGCCAGGCTTTTATCAGTAATGAAATGTTATCCTTTTGTGGCAGCACATTGAATCAAAGGCTTCCCATCCATTAATTTATAGACGTTGTATAAGGGAAAGAGATGATAAAAAGAAATTAGGAGGAGTGTGTATCATTTCTATTACACGGTATGTGTGGTTTCAAGCTGAGCTCAATGGCATTGGTTTCTTGTATGATAATGTGCATGGAAAATGTTCGAGTACTCTATCACAGAGGGATATGTACTCTATCACAGAGATGGGATGCATGCACTTGCTGTGACTTAGTGTGCTGGTACTGCTCTGACACTGTGGAGTGGTCTATCAAAACTATCTGGGACATCATGGAGGAACAATACACTGTACCATCAAGCATCATCAGGGTTTATGTACTGATCACTTGCAAGTGACAGTACAGTATACCATAGGCTAGTCCTGTACCTTGTGAAGTTGTGGGGAAAGTTGTAGAAGGAAGGCCTTACCCAAGACTACAATGTACACACAGGAGTTCTTGTCGCAAAGACTAAGTGTGCTTGTTCCCTTGGATATATCTGTGTTATGTGTGGTATGCACAGGGGATTCGCCGCATTCATCTCCTACTTTGTCAACCATCCTCTGTACACTCCTCCCAGTAAGCATATACCATACATGTTAAGAATTTGTAAAGCGTTTTGTGGAGGAAAGGGTCTGATCCCCACACTGGAGCTCGTGATTTCCCACCGACTTGACACTTGGTAGTCAGTGTTTTGTGGAGATAAATAAAAGAAGACATCAATGCAATAGTTTATGCAAGTTTCGCATTCAACAAACCCTGGCTGATGGCGTGTGTAATCAATGTGCAACTTGCATTTTTAAATTATTGCGTTTGTAGTTAATAATAATCTTTAAAATACTGCTGACTGTGCTCTTGGTCGCACCCCTATTACACTTGCAGGTCCGAGGCTCCGTCATGTAGTTTCAGAGTACAGTATCCACTTGGGTAGTAAGTCGTAGTCGGGTGTAGGTCGCTTCCCATTCTTCTACAGATGCTATTTTCTGTATAATCCAAAGGTTGTCGGCTCGAATCTAGTTTGGGCAGACTTTCAGTGTTTGTGTCCATATTTTCCTCGCGACACTGGCCGAGAACCATCCACAAAAGGATTGAGGTGCACAGTGGCTCGAGTTGGACACAACAAGAGCAAACCGATATGTCGCATAGAGCATGCGTATGCACACATACCTGAAAAGGCGAGTACAGAAAAACGAGAGACATTGAGGGGAGGGACAATATGATGCCAGTTGATATGGGCAGCAATACCTGTATTTACTTTTTTTTAGTGCGGGCAGGTATGAGTAGGCTTGCCGTGTCGCCATGTTTCACAACCTGTGTTCTTTGTGCGGTTATGTGTTTATGTATTTAATTCCGGCATTGTTGTTCTTGTGTAGTGTTTGGCGACTTGCAGTTCTACATTGGTCTCGGTGGATTCCTGGTTAGTCTAATAGTCTTGTCCGCACACACGTTTCTGCTGTTTTACTGTGTATGATGGTGAATTGTACTTTCATGAAAAAACCCTATCAACCATGATGGCCTGATCTCAAGGAATGATAATGTGGTGGTGGTGGTGGTGTGTGCGTGTGTGTGTGTGTGCGCGTGCTCACGTGTGTGTGCCTGGCAAGCCTAGAGGCTAGACTAAGTACACATGTTTTAAACACTCCTCATTTTAGTACAAGTCATGCACTCTTCTCCTGTCCAGAGCATGGCATGTGGACCACCATGAAAACCTGGTCAAATGGGCAGAAATGTCACGTACACTTTCTCATTTCATGCCCTCGCGAATATTGCCTCATAACCCCGTCACATAGTATGCTGCTACCTACGCAAGATGCACACAAGTGTAATAGAAGGCCAGCTGTACATTAGAGCTACCGGTGACAATGCAATGATGCCATCATGTAGCATGAATGACATGCCAGATTAGACGGATCCACCGTATCACATCTACGTGTACACACTGTAATAACGATACATGTATTGTGTTTGGTCTGCTATGGACCTTTACCATTTTAGTTCTTGTGAACACCTGCAATCTGGTGTAGACTGGTTTTTTTGTCTCTTTTCAGTTTTGTTTCCTTATCAAGAGTACGATGTTTTGCACAGCATGGAGCTGCTGTGTAGTGGTTGCACAGCATGGGGCTGCTGTGTAGTGGTTGCACAGCATGGGGCTGCTGTGTAGTGGTTGCACAGCATGGGGCTGCTGTGTAGTGGTTGAGTGGTTGTAATGCTGGTTTTCTGGTCTCTTCCTTGTGATTTCATTGTCCACAGTTCTGTGAATATGGCAACTTTGTCTGCCACTGCCTCTTCAGAGACTTACGCCCAGCAGGTATGTACACACGTGTGTGTGTGTCTGTCTGTCTGTCTATGCATGTGTGTGTGTGCATGTGTGCACGTGTGCGATATCATGATTGCTATCTGTTTTCTGTCTGTTGTCCATGTCTATCCGTCTGTCCACTCTCACTCTGTCATGTCGCTCACTTGCTCTGTCTTCCTCTGTGTATAATTTGTGTGTGCGTGCGTGTGTGTGTGTGTGTGTGTGTGTATAATGTGTGTGTATAATGTGTGCGTGTGTGTGTATAATGTTTGTGTTTGTGTGTTTATGTGCATATCCTGCAGGTTCGAAGGTTCGCCGTATTCCCGTGCCGAACTCCAACCCATTGAGTTTGATGTTTCACTTTGTCTCATGCCCCAACTACACCTACGAGGTATGTCCGATCACTGTGATGATTAGTGGGCACCCTGTAAGAAGACATTTGGGTCTGTTGGGAATGCCCAAGTAAAATAATAAAATACAATACAATTAGCCAGCCGCCTGCCATAAGCCTTATGCACGTTGTACAGATATACGGAATCCCGTAGACCCGGTTGGGTGCAGGACCCTATTGAGTCTACTGCTATTTCCACTAAGAAATGGGCCCTGAAGGAATTTCATACGAAGACCTTTTTTCCGGCAAAGATCTAGCCTGTCATTAGTTATATCCAAAGTGATGCAGCTGGGAAAGCGATTGTTTGCCATTTAATAATAACGAAGTGAAATTGGTCAAGTGTGCATGTATAGCACAGAATGAACACCCAACCGGGTATGTACGCACCTACGTCAATAGTGCATTCGTGCATAAGGACCATTGCCTATCATTGCCTGCCATTGACTACACGACTAATTTCAACTGTTATAATCCTCCAATATGTCTTACCCTTTTGAAGGCCTTTTCTGCACTGTGCTGTGGAATACTCTGTCGCCATCATCCTGGACTATCGATATTATTAATTTTTATATTCTCAAAACGAATGTTTCTACACTGCTGCTCAGTGAAATCCTATAGAGCGAGTCAGCGCCACGTTGCCGGGCAGCGCTGTGCAGCGCGAGTCAGCGCCACGCCGGGCAGCGCTGTGCAGCGCGAGTCAGCGCCACGTTGCCGGGCAGCGCTGTGCAGTGCTGTTCAGCCCTAGACCAGCCAACACTGGGCTGTGAACTGGTGCAGGTGCAAACTTGACTAGTGACTAGTAGTGTGATCGGATTTCAGAGAGCAGCGCTGTAGTTAAGGTAGGAAGAGGTTTCAATGCTGCTCGCTTCCTCGTTGAGTTGAAAACATAGTACAGTTTTCATGTACGAGCGTACATGTTCACTCTGGGAATAAGGTCAGCCGGGTGGTCATTGTGCGGGTGTGTTTGCTAGGACGAGGGAGTGCGACGATCTTAACCCTTTATGTACTGAAAAAATGTACGCAGACTGAATTTGATCTCGACTCACCTCAAATTCCATAATTCTCCGGGTCATAACTTTGGTCTGCTTTTGACGATTTTTCAATCTTGGGCTTCCTGGAAAGCTCGTCGCAAGAGGAACACATTGAGCCCACACTTGCCACCACGAAGGTCAAAACGCCAGCGCTACAACCCAGCGTCTTAGTTGCAACGCCAATATTCCGACATGTCGTCTTGTATCAGCCATTTCACTCTCCTTGCTTGTGACAACTAAATTTTTACTTCAAAAAAATTCACAAACTGCCACGAATCCGTTTGCCATTTTGAATGTGTTTCTACGTCACTGGATGCCCAGAAAGATGGGGAAATCCCTCATTCAAATCTGCGCACACGGCTATTGAGTGACACAATTGCCGCGATTTGACTTTCGAGCTTCGTAACTCTGGAACCGGACATCGGAGTGTTCCAGCGATTGTTTCAATGGGCAGCTGGGAGTTTTCTCTTCGACCTACATAATTTAGTTTTTGGAAATAACCCAGAAATGATTGTTACGATCGATAGAAAATTTGAAAAGTTTCGATCCCAGGGGATCGAACGTTGTACAGTCCGTACACAAAGGCTTAATCTTCGTTTTTGGGGGGGGGGGGGGGGGAATTGGTGATTACGGATGGTCTCGAAGCTACACAACTAAACATGCTTATAATTATGATCATTCTCCATGGTTCGATGTATTTTCCTTATGTCCCAAATTGAGACTATTTCCTTCTTCTCTTGTTCTTTTTAAATTGTTTCTTCTTCTTTTGCATGCATGCATGTGTGTGTGTGTGTGCATGTGTGTGTGTGCATGTGTGTGTGTGTGCATGTGTGTGTGCACGTGCGTGTGTGTGTGTGCCCTTGTGTGTGTGCCCTTGTATGTGCCCTTGCGTGTGTAGATTGGTGCATGGTTCTTCTTCAGCATCATGACTCAGAGCCTTCCTGGTAAGTCTACTTGTCTTTCTGTCTGCGTGTCTGGGTGGGAGTTTGTCTCGTCTGTCCGTCTGGCTGCCCGACTGCCCAGCGTGCATATGTAGAAGTGTAGAAGTGGTCAATCTGATCACAGGGGACAGTGAACAATTGCCTTCCATATCAGCTAGACTCAAACGGAGGACAGAGTGAACAGGGAACCGAGTTCAAAATAATACAATATGATACGGGTGCACTCTGAACTGCCCAGAGTGCGCAGCTGGCAATTTGTACTAGCAAGATAGGTACCAGCAAGAGTACATAAACCAGAGTGTGCAACTGTGCATATCAGATCTGAAACAGCGCAGTTCGTGCACTACGTCACCCTGATGAGGTCAGCCAAGCCGCGACGGCGTACAGCTCAAATTTTCATGTTTCATAGCCCAGAAAGCAGCCAAGTTTGCTTGATTTTAGACGTCCAGTTTCAGGGTTTTGGTGTTTTGTGTAACTGTGTACGCTGCGTACATCCACCGACAAGTAAAGTCACCAGGCTATCCGTATCAAAAAACCGAAATCAGGACAAACTCAGTGACCTGCACCACCGCGACTGGTTACGCAACTTTTCACCGTACCTGTGGCTTACCATGCCGTCAGAAATGACGTACTGCACGAATTACGCTCCCACAGGAACCATCCCGAGTTGCACACTCTGGTTTATGTACTCTTGGTACCAGCAAGAGTACATGACCCCAGGGAGGGAGAAAATGCACTGTGGCTGCTGTACCCACAGGATTTCAAGTTGACATCATTTTGATGCAATGCGTGTTGTGCATGTATTGTCATATGCATCCTGGACCTGTGGTGGATAAATTCCAATGTTCGTGCAACACCTGCATGCTAGTACCCTGCTGCCCCGACACATTTCAAGTTGTCATCATTCTTATGATGGAATCCTCCTCGCACGAGTGATTTACGACGTTTGTCAAGGGGTGTCAAAGCATCACACATGTCTAATTTGTCGAGAACTGCCGAACTAATTATTTGTACATGATCATACGACTTACTTGTAGGCAAGTGTACCTCCTAACCTCCTATCTCAACATATGTCAGTATGGATCACTATAGAGCCGTGCTCCGGACAATGTCCCTGTGCTAAGCAAGAGTATGTTTGACTTGTATCGGAGTACCGGTACATACTAAGTGAGTTGCATTGGAGCATAAACTCTAATCTCATCACCATGCATCATCACCTAAATTTCAGATTTTCTTCTCCGGTAGAATTTTCCGGCTTGTTTCTCCTTCCTCACGCAAAGTTCAGCCATCAGCAAGGCAAGAAGAAAACACTTGCTGAACTCTGATTGGCTGAGGGCGGTTGACCAATCACTTCAGGTGTGAAGTGCAGAGAGGCAGGATAGCGAAAACACTTGCTGAACTCTGATTGTATGAGGGCGGTTGACCAATCACTTCAGGTGTGAAGTGCAGAGGCAGGATAGCCTATAAAAGTAATAATCAATTTAGTAAATTTAGGTTTTTTTCCTGTAAAATTTTCCAGCTTGTTTACAAATTGTGGCGGTCGTAGTTGGTTGCAAGCTATTGTTGTGTTATGTTGATGTCTGCATGCCTTTTGCCACTCAAGGTCTGCTTTTCACTGCTGGTGGTGCCGCTCAGATGGCCATCTGGGCACTTGGCAAACACCGCAACTACCGTCATGAGTTCAAGGACTACCCACGTGGTCGCAAGGCAATCTTCCCTTTCTTCCTCTAAACAATTTCTTTTCTCTTTTCCTGACTTTTCTTTAGTGCTGCTGTGTGCTACTTTGAAATGTTTTTGAACTACTTGATTTATATCCTGCCCAGTACGCCACCGCCGTCCTACTGCCCGGGGAAAGCAGGTGAAGAGGCAGGTGCATGCCCTGGCTGAGAAAGGCAGAACAGAACAACGTCCCTATTATGATATGAATGATGAGATAATGAATGATGCATCAGTGTACAATGTACTGCCACTGGCTGGCTGGCTGCCTTGTAGTCAAATGTTTCAATATAACTTTACAAATCAAACTCTGTGTCTTTCCCTCAAACTAGTCAAAATATGTATATATGTATATACTGAACGGTCTGTGTGGATAATGAATATACTAAAGGTTTTAAAAAAATGCATTCCTACAAGGAGGGGACCAAGTTCTAGCAGGCTTGCATGCGACCCAATAGAGAGGTTCCGGAGTACGATTTTCGTGCCAAAATCCGTAGAGGCGCTACGGATTTTTATACGTCTTTTTCGAGCAGTGAAATGTTCCGGAGTACGGAACTTACTTCAGTATGTGTTTGCCGTCATTGCCTAGGTTACGACCGCGCTATGCATTTTTTATTTTGAAAATTTGTACCGAAATCAAAACTACCCGCCGAAAATCGATGTTTTTCGTACCAAAATTGTACGCGAAAAATCTTTCTGCACCCGATGACGCAAAATCTCCATACGAAACATGGTTCGTTTGAAAGCCAGTCCACACGGATTCTCCGTGCCGAAAAATCGTATGGAGCACGCCTCGAAAAAATCCGTAGAGCCCATACGGATTTTGGCACGGAAAATCGTACCCCGGAACCTCTCTAATAATTATAATTATAGTTTCATGGAGTGTGAGACATAATGAGTTTACAAAATTTAATACCACCCAGTCACGTGACAACTGCCGTACCATGCGCGTGCGCACACGCACCCACACAGATTCATATCGCAGATTTCTCGTTTTTGGTAGGAATCGGAGAATCCTTTCTTCGGTGAGAAGGCAGTATTGCCTGTGCCCTGAGCGAATTGAAATGAAAGAATACAACAGATACGAAACATCGCATGACCTGCCACATGATTCATGCCAGCCCGACGGAACAGACGCATTTACGGAACCAACTTCAGGGTACCTGATGGTACGGTGCGCGACAGGTACGGGATAGTGCACCAGGCCTGCCACTCACGATCACGTGATCATGCCCAACCGTCTGGACACCACACACGCGAGCATCTGCAATAAAGCGTTGTGGACCCTGGCTAGCGGAAGACACTACTGTTCGTGCCGTCTTTCGCATAGCTGCGGGAATAAAATTGAGCTTGCGGCCATGAATGCCGACCAGTGCTGAACAAGTTACTTCAGCGGATGTGGGCAAGACAGTGGTAGAAGACGTCCCATGCCGTCGTGATCAGGCTGCAGTGGAGATGCGGGGATAGAATACAGTCAGGGACAATGAAATACGGACTTTGAACTAGAGAAGCTAGTTAGGGGCATGTTCAATTGGCTGGATCTGGATCCAGATCAACCGGATCCACTCAGTATGTGCACGTTCATTTCAACGAATCCGGATCTGGATCTGACCAACCCTACTCCAGGAGCAGGGTTGACCAGATCCACCAGATCGGTACATGATACGTGTACAAATGGCAAAAAACGAAGTAAATGTTTTTTTGATAAAAAATCTTGTATTTTCAATAATTGTAAGGTGCTCAAGCTGCACTGCTGTCACTGCGTTATGTCGAGGTTTACGTTATGTAGGACTAAACTGGCCTAAACTGGCTAGCTACAGCTACAGCTTGATTGTACCACGCATGTGAATCTACGTTGTATCGAGAGTGCGCACTTCGGGGACCGCGCGCACTTCGGGGACCGCACCGTAGCGTGCGTTATATCGAGGTTTACGTTATGTAGGATTACGTTGTGCAGAACACAATTGATTATTTGTATGGGAGGGATGATGTTTCGGCATAGGATTTGATTTTTTTTACGTACTAGCGAGGTTTACGTACAAGTGAGAGTTGTTATATCGAGAGCAGACCTTACCATCACCAATGCAAGCAGTCTCTTTGCTGAAAATCCGTCAATTTTCATACTTGAAGTATCTCAATCAAATTTCACAGCCCCAGGAGCCATCACCAGGAGTAGCCAAAGAAATCACTTGCATTAGTGATGGCGTAGGAATTTCCACGTCAAAACGCTTATGCTCTGTGATTCAGAGAGGTTAAAGTGGTGCACAGACAAGGTTGATTCTACTGTACCTACACATTCTTGCATGCACACGCATATGCACACGCGCACACATACACACACACACGCACACTTGTACTTGTTGCTCACTGCCAAAACTGGTCACGTGGGTCTCCCCGGGAGAGGGGAGAGAGACTCAAGAGGAATCTTGGAAAGATGACTCAATTGGCTATTGAACCGCCCAACGGTCGACACCCCCTGAAATCCCCAAAACTCTGGGTGGACTTGAAAATGATCCCACTTATGGGCTCACCACACCTCAGTAAGTGGGTGAGGACAAGGTGCAGAAAAAGGATTGATGGCATCAGGGTATCCGTCCCGGGATCCAACTGCAGTTACCCTTGCCCCCAGTGAAGGTAATACTTGCTACTAGTGTGGGTGGCTAAATCAGAGTGGATCTGATATAAGCTTCACTAGCACCGTTGACACACACATACACACACACACACACGCACACACACACACACACACACACACACACGCACGCACACACACACACAGGCGCACACATTTTCAGATTCTGTGCAATGGCCTCCCAACACATACCCACACATGTACTTCAAAGTAGATCCGAGCTGTTCTGAACACCTTTAGGCACGGCAGTGTGCAGTGCTCAACATGAGAAGATGGTAGCTATGACTTACAGTTGGTGGTACACCGACACATGTAAGATAGCGGCCACGTAGCTGAGAAGCTGTCAGTGGCGTAATGCGGATCAGATCTTCCCTCTCACCAATGCTAGTCCTGGTCTTCAGTTCCTCAGCAGCACTGCAGTTCACCAGAGGAATGATGGGCCACAAAAAAAGTTACCATATTTTCTGGAGTATAAGCCGCGCTTTAAACACTCGTAACTCACCCAAAAAGTCAGTGCAGCCTATACTACTATACTACTGTACTACTATACTACCATGGTTAAACGAATGTGCAGCTTTTACTACGATGGTTAACCCTTTCAGTGGCAGGCCAGAAGTACGCTGTTGGCCGGGCCATTTTCATAAAAAATCTAATTTTTTTCAAATTAGTCGTATAAACTCAAACCGACTTGTTGTCCTGCGCTGGCGTAGCTTGTCTGCTGCGCCCTGCTCAAACTCGACATCGACATCTCCGATATCCTCAGGGCCGTCCAAGGCGACCACGGCAGCAGGTACGACATCGACTACGGCGGACTCGTCCGCGTAATTTGTTCCGTCACGATCGCGGACGGCTATGTCCGCATCCAAGTCATCGCCTTCACTATCGCAGCTCCAGTCATCAATGTCCGAGTCCATGATGGACTGGAGCACCTCTTCAGCCGACATGCGGCGACTCGCCATGTCTGAGGGACAGCTAGAGAGACCTAAAGTATGTTCCGTCAATCTAAATGTTTCTGAATCGAAATTATTATGTTTTTCGCCCGAGCGCTCTGAATGTATGCTCCCGCGCCCTTACTTACTCAAACACGGCGAGTGAGGTCTTGTTCAGTAGGGGAAAACCCCCAGTTTCCCCTCGAAGAGCCACAATCGGCCAAGCCAGATCGTAGTGCATGGCCGGTGAGATATAGTAGTGCGCACTACGAGGACGAGATATCTCGTCCTTGGCCAATCGCGTGGGGGTCTGTAGGACGAGTTATCTCATCCTTGGCACTGAAAGGGTTAAATGAATGTGCAGCTTATACTACCAATGTTAAATGAATGCTGGTATCTGGGGTAGATGCCTATATTTTGGGACAAAACAATATGGATGCGGCTTATACTGCGGAAAATCCGGCAAGGACACCGGCTACCTGGTGAACGGGCATCAGTCTGCATGCGTTCACGTAAGTACTTGTACACACCTGGCATCAGTCTGCATGCGTTCACGTAAGTACACACGTAAGTACACACTCAGTCCAAGTCCTACTGCAGTAAAAAAATCCATGCCAGCAGTGTGTTCAAAGACATACACTCCATTCTCAGAGTGCCAGCAGTCAATCACATACATGGGGTATATGACATGGATCTTATCACATCCGCCATCATGAGTTGATAACTGATGTGGATACTACTAATGGTAGTTAGGCTACTCAGTACACCCAGACAAGAGGTGCCATACCTGATGAAAGCATTTCGCTCCTCAGCAGATTGATTCAGTTGACCACCTAGGCACACAATGAGGAAAGAAAATCATGCAACCAGTAATCAGTGATGGTCCAACGGAAGACGTGCAGCAACGCCTTATTGCAACTGAGCAGTCCGGGATGAATTTACTGTCATATTTTTGCATAGCAGTTTTTGCTATGCAAAATCTCAATTGTACAGCAGTCTTTGATTTTTTGACCAGCATCTCTGGAGCTAGACGTTGGGACGCGCACTCCGTCAGCCTGCCATGTGCCTTGCCGGATTCCATGTAGATAGCGTGGACAGTTTGATCAACGGGAATGTCATGATACGCCAGACACGCGCGCACGGCATCGCGCAAAGCGTCGGCGTGGGACGAGCCCTTCACAAGCCGGTGGTTGCGGTTCACATTCTCGAAAGGAAGTACGTTATGTGCGTTGGCCACCACGTGGGCTTGAAACTTCCATCGCCCCATCTCGGCTGGTTGCGTCCAGTTGATTCCTCGACAAACTTGGGAACCCAACTTCGAAGCACAGTCTCCGTCAGGTTTTCGATTGGCCGAAGCAATGGAGTCAGGTATACGGCATGCTTTGGTCCTTGTGCAAAGCAGCCCCACGCGTCTTGCCTGCTTTGTTGTTTCTGCCGTGCTAGTGCTGCCATTGACATTGGACACATTTCCTCGAGACTTCTTAAAAAATTCTTAGCGAACAGATTGTGCAAGAGATAATCTCTGAGCTGCTGTTACTGCAGCACCAAGTGTCCCACAAGAGTCAAGACTGAATCCGACCATCCCTCATCATTACTGCTCTGGCTGGATATCCAAGTTCGTCATTCAATTTTTCCATTGCTGCATCTATTTTGGCCCCTCGCCGTCGCCCCTTCTCCTTTCTTTTTCTGGTCGCTTTCGGATCTTTGATTGAGCTGTTGGTCGACATGGTGGACAAATAAGAAGTTCAGGTGTAGTCTTCCCTGAAACTGACGAGAGAGAGAGGAGGAGGAGGAGGAGGAGAGATAATAACAGAGAGGAGACAGGCAGACGCAACCATTACAGAGATTCAGCGCTATTTAAAAGTATGGCTTACCTCCGGCGCTGTCCACAATGTAAAGGACGACAATGCAAAATAAAGCAACTGCATGCAGACAAGAAGATGGCATAGCACAACACAGTCACACCTGACATACAGACAAGAAGATGGCATAGCACAACACAGCAGTCACACCTGACATACAGACAAGAAGATGGCATAGCACAACACAGCAGTCACATCTGACATACAGACAAGAAGATGGCATAGCACAACACAGCAGTCACACCTGACATACAGACAAGAAGATGGCATAGCACAACACAGCAGTCACACCGGACATACAGACAAGAAGATGGCATAGCACAACACAGCAGTCACACCTGACATACAGACAAGAAGATGGCATAGCACAACACAGCAGTCACACCTGACATACAGACAAGAAGATGGCATAGCACAACACAGTCACACCTGACATACAGACAAGAAGATGGCATAGCACAACACAGCAGCCACACCTGACATACAGACAAGAAGATGGCATAGCACAACACAGCAGTCACACCTGACATACAGACAAGAAGATGGCATAGCACAACACAGCAGTCACACCTGACATACAAACAAGAAGATGGCATAGCACAACACAGCAGTCACACCTGACATACAGACAAGAAGATGGCATAGCACAACACAGCAGTCACACCTGACATACAGACAAGAAGATGGCATAGCACAACACAGCAGTCACACCTGACATACAGACAGGAAGATGGCATAGCACAACACAGCAGTCACACCTGACATACAGCTACAAGCATGTGTACACCTAGCCGTATCCTTACACCAGGCAATTCGTAGGCTTTATATTTAATTATTATCATTATTATTAGTAATTTATTACTTTACTTCTTTGAATAATCGTCGAGGAGACAATAACCGTAACATGGCAATGAATAATAATGCTAAAATACTAGTTTCCAAAACGTTTTTCGTGTGATACTCATCAGTGGAAATCCGTCACTTGTACCTCTGATTTCGCTATTATACTATTTTGCCACGCTAGGTGTAAGAATTCCCTACATTTTCAACTACCGGTATTACATTGCTTTTTTGGTTATTTCTCATTGCATGACAAATTCCCACTGATGAGTGTCACACGAAAACGTTTTGGAAACTACTTCAAAAAAAGTAGTATTATATTTTTTACTTTGTTATGACTGCACAATTTGTATTTAATATTTATTGCCACTTCACTGTTTGTTTGTAGAAAGACAAAAGCTTAAAAAGCTATGACAGACCACAGACCACAGACCACTCTAGCTACTAAATAAGGGGTAAGCAGCAGCAGCATTCGGCATCTTAATCGTTCTACAATATCTACCTTAGCCGTTCTACAATATCTACCTTAGCCGTTCTACAATATCTACCTTCACTGACAAGAATTTTATACTCGAAATGATAGCTGTATGAAGGAATTCAGTAGCAATGGATGTGTGGCCTTGCTGATGATGTGCTGTGGCAGCGCTGTGTCGAGGTCAGCTCGAGAGCGCAGTTGTGGTGTGGTGGTTGACGAAAAACCACTCTAGCTAACAATTTTTTTTTTAATGGCTACATCTGCTACACCACATTGCTCTACAGGGAATAATTTAACCGGTATCGCATCGCAGTTCGCTACGCAATTCTTCTGAGGTGCGAAGCAACTTCAGATATGTGTCGCAGAAAACTGAAAACTGCGATGCATGTTGATTTTTCACTGTATCCAATGACGCACAGTGTACATGCCGGGTGTGTCTCTTAGGGATGACATAGATGCACGAAGCTTCGAAAGTGCCGAGCTATGCTGCAGTAGGCATCAGGTTAGGTTTGCAACTAAGGTGTTACAGTGTACTTGTGGTCTGAGCTTGCACTCTGATCAGCTCTTCAGAAGGACAATGTTGTCAAGTGTTTTAAAAAAATTGATTTCGTGTAGCAAAATTGCTATGCAAACGATTGAAAGTAAATATTTAATTATCCCCTGCTCTATTGGTTAATGCACATTCTGCTTTCCATCACATCATCACATTGCTCATGCCACACACCAGTACAGACTATGGTCATGCCACACACCAGTACAGACTATGGTCATGCCACACACCAGTACAGACTATGGTCATGCCACACACCAGTACAGACTATGGTCATGCCACACACCAGTACAGACTATGGTCATGCCACACACCAGTACAGACTATGGTCATGCCACACACCAGTACAGACTATGGTCAGGCCACACACCAGTACAGAGTATGGTCAGGCCACACACCAGTACAGACTATGGTCATGCCACACACCAGTACAGACTATGGTCATGCCACACACCAGTACAGACTATGGTCAGGCCACACACTAGTACAGACTATGGTCAGGCCACACACCAGTACAGAGTATGGTCAGGCCACACACCAGTACAGACTATGGTCATGCCACACACCAGTACAGACTATGGTCATGCTACACAACATTGTACGACACTGTACTGACGCCCACTATACACACATCTATCGGTATTTCAAAGTACAGTGAAACTCCCCCAAATTCGGACACCTCAGACCTGGGCACTCTCGTCTAACAATCACCTCTCCCTACCCCTCCCCTAGACAGATCTAGTCTCAACAATTTTCAATGGAAAACCGGACCTGAAATTTTGATTGCCATAATAAATGTTTATTTGCATGCAATGAGTATGATTGTATGTTGTGAGTTGCGACCAATTCCTAGTTACAGGCAGGGCCCGGATAAGAGGAGGTCTACTGCACAGCAGTGCACTTTCTCTACTGTACAACAGTGCACATCTCTCACATACATACATCTACATATTGCAAGTGGAGTAGCGAGAGGATGGCACAGTGGACAGTAGATGGGCAGCTTACCACACAGGTTAGCGCAGAAGAACACTTCCAACACCAGGTAACCTTTGTTGTCAACGATAAGACCAGCTACCATGGAGATAATGGCCAGGCCAAGATTCTGAATAGCTTGCATCCTGACAACATACAAAGCCAAATAAACAGAAGCAATACATATTAGCAGCCGATCAAGAAGCAACCAGGTTATGAAACTGGCATGCAGTCAGGGTTGGTTCGGTTAAAAATTAGGAGTCAGCGTGTGTGTGTGTGAAGCCAAGCAAGATGATTGCTGACTTATGATGCTGCTGATGCTGCACTGCGGTGGTTTAGACTGAGTGACCATGTGAGGTGAGACGGTGGTTTAGATTGAGTGACCATGTGAGGTGAGACGGTGGTTTAGACTGAGTGACCATGTGAGGTGAGACGGTGGTTTAGATTGAGTGACCATGTGAGGTGAGACGGTGGTTTAGACTGAGTGACCATGTGAGGTGGGACGGTGGTTTAGACTGAGTGACCATGTGAGGTGAGATATAGCTCAAGGCTACATAAAGAAATGACAGGGAAGAGAAGTAATACCATGGCTGCCTAGACTTACGCATGGTACTCAACAGGGATGTCACGATGATAAGATAATTGTGCAGATGCCGATGGCGCACATGTACTATGCCAGTGACGGTGACGGTGGAAGTGACCAAGGAAGTGACCAAGGAAGTGACAGTGGCAGACATTGAGATAACTATGCAGCTGGGTGACGACACAGCACAATCGTGAAAACAGAACTGTTGTTTTCAGCAAATCAAAAATTCACCAGTTGTAGCCTTTGGGGACTTTTAATCGGGTGTTTTTTTAGTATGTGTTTCCACCCTATGATTTAGTCTTGTGCCTGGAGCTGCAAGGAGATGTTTTTTTTAAATAAATTCATGGAGCACAGAATGATGCAAACTCAAGAGACCAAAGCACCATCTCAACCCCACTCTACTACGTAGCTGCTGCGTCCTTTACAATATCCTCATAACTCGGGTCCCGTCCTGGCCTCATGTGCCTCTGGCTTGTGATAGCCCTCACATTGATCCCCATCGCATAGAGGTTTTACGTTACCACCAGTCGGTGAGGCAAACTATCAGTGGTGTGTGTCTGATTACCAGTCGGGGAGCACCGATGGGGATGGGCTGTTTTGACTGGAGCAACGTACAGCAAGGCTATCAAATTGAACATTGTGTGACGTATGGGACACACACCCACTCTCTCTCTCTCTCTCTCTTTCTCTCGTTCTCTCATGTACACGTACACGCATGCACGCGTACACACACGTACGCATGCACAAACACGTGCGCATACCGCGCGCGCACACACGCACACACTTACAATCCATATGCAGTTCCAAGCTGATGTTCAGGTACAACAAGAGCAACCATTGGCCACAGAGCACATGCCAGTAAAGAATACATAGTACCCAAGAGAATCTGAGAACAAAAGACCCACATGCACACACGCACGCACACACATGCACGCGCACACACACAGACACACACACACACACGCGCGCGCACGCACACACACACACACACACACATAGCCAACATCTATCAAGAACCTTGCCACAAGTCATTCAGCACCTTACTACAAAACCTTGCCAGTCGACATGAGCTTTGAGAGAATATCGCGAGTAACCAACTTCACTTGCTCCGCTCCTGAAACAGAATAGACTTCAGTCCGTTTTGCTCTTCATACGTGCTCTCTTTACAGACACGCCTCAACTACAGTTGTGGCGAAAGAAATCCGACCCGCGAGTCAAAAGCAGCGCTCCGTTTTCATTTCAATTACATCATGTACGGTAGCAAAACAGAGAGCCACGCGGAAAAAGGGTTGTCTACCTGAACCGCCCTCGTGGTCACTGCGTGCGTGAACCTGTCAGACACCATCAAAGAGGTCGGTATCCCCCCGGTATCACTGTACTGAACTTGGGTGAAGAAAATCAACCCAAAACAAACTCTGTTTTCTGTTGGTTGTCGAGTGTATAGCCTATGTCAGGGAGTCGTACCCAAACCACTTGGGTATGACTGCCTGGTACCAGTACCAACTCGATCAAGTACAGCTGCAGTTGAGTTGGATTTCCGAGCGAGATGGGACATGCATTAAGAAAGGGATGTCTCACGCGTGTGAGGTGCACGATTTCCCCCACGCTTCTATTACAGCTATGCACGCAGTACATGTACATGCACTGCGCATGCAGAGTACCATAATCACCCATCCCAGGTCCGCGGGGGCCGCACAAGCCATGGCGCTGCTTTTGGCTCACGGGTCGCATTTCTTTGGCCACAACTGTAATAGTGCAGTGGAGAGTACATGTACAGTGCGTATTGGTTATAGCGTGGTCGTGTAAAACAATATACTGCCTACAAGAATGATCTCTCATGTTTTCATAATCATAACATGGGTTTCAAAGTGCACTTTTATTCTTACAAGCAATTTTATCGCATAGTAGAATATATCGGTCCTAAGAATGGACTTTGTGTAGCAAAACATGCCAGATTAGTACAAAGTGTATCGCCTGTAGTAATAACATCTGTCCAATGCAGTTCTGATCTGACTCGCGTTGCGTCGTAGTGCTGCAGGTTCAACTGTTGTGGTCATGTAACTCATGTTGCATAGCCACACTGGTAAGCTTCTGGGACTATGACCAGCCACATGCACAGCAGCACTGCGTTGCACGTACGATGATCTTCCTGCCCCTGCGCACATGCATATGATGTCACACTTAATTTATCGTGTGTAAGAAATATCGGAAATAAGCATAGAAAGTCGTTTTTCAAACACCGACGCTATAACCGATACCAAGAGTAGATAAACAAGAGTGTGCAACTCCCGGATCCGCGCGGATGGGTTGGCCCATGGTGGAATTTTTTGTTGACGTAATCTTTTCGACCACCCACGCGCCGCTAGTCTTTTGGAAAGTTTTGCCTCGTGCACTTGGCCGGGGCTTACATTACAATGTCGGTGCCCAGCACGTGCTCTCACACTGCTCTGCGGCAAGCGCGTTTTTCTGGAAAAAAAGGTGACGTCAACTAGTGCTGAAACGATATCGATTACTCGTTACTTACTCGAAAAGAAATAGATCGAACGGTTATTTCGATTTTATCGGCTAAACGAGTAGAATGGTACTTACGCTCGGTACGGGATTTCCCCCCTTTTGGGGGTTGCACAAAGCGTGCATGCACCGGAAGTGTTGCGAGTAGATCTACGACACGAATATGTACATGACTGTACACTTGCAACATCGATAAACGTGTAAAGACACAAGCGCGATTTGAGAAACATCGACGCGATCACCGTCGCCTTCTTTTGAGCTGACTACTTTTCTTACATGCAGCATGCAGGACTGGCAGGCTCAGTATGTGTCTACACTAGCTGCAGGTGCTGAAGTTCCCTCCACGTGCGAGTAGTCCTGAGCTAAAGACAGTAAAGTGGTCTTCAGTTTCATGTTTTCCGTTCTGTCGACAGTTCCCGAACCAGTTTGCTCGACGACCTAGGCCTGGCGTCTGGGCCTATTTTGAGCATAGACAGGAAAAGCAACTAGTTACTTGTTGGTGCGCCTCAAGTCAGCTCATCCGTCGAAATCCGCCGATCTGCACCCCTGGCCGGCTTCTCTGACTTCATCGTCGGAGTCAGCGAAGTCACAGGCGAAGGGCACCATCAGCTCTTGGGTTGCAACCAGTGAGTTGCCTCTGTCTTGTCTGAAATCGTCTGGTCAGTTCGAACAGCTGACGGACTTGTTGCGGGATCATCGGATCTATGCGCCCGCTTTTCGTCCTTGGCGATGTTGGACTCGTAATTTTTTTGAAATTCACAGAATGTACATTGTACGAGTACTGATGTAGTTACAATAATAATCGTTTAGCCGATAAGCCGATCGTTATGGTATAAGCTAAGCCACTAAGGAAAGACGTAATCGTTTCAGCACTAACGTCAACAAAAAATTCCGCCATGGGCGGTGGTATCTGGAGATTGTGCAGGACAGATCCGGAGTTGCACACTCTTGTTTATCTACTCTTGCCGATACCTATTGTACGTGTATTCCTTGCTTACTAAGTCTGCCGATACCTATTGTACGTGTATTCCTTGCTTACTAAGTCTGCCGATACCTATTGTACGTGTATTCCTTGCTTACTAAGTCTGCCGATACCTATTGTACGTGTATTCCTTGCTTACTAAGTCTGCCGATACCTATTGTACGTGTATTCCTTGCTTACTAAGTCTGCCGATACCTATTGTACGTGTATTCCTTGCTTACTAAGTCTGCCGATACCTATTGTACGTGTATTCCTTACTTACTAAGTCTGCCGATACCTATTGTACGTGTATTCCTTACTTACTAAGTCTGCCGATACCTATTGTACGTGTATTCCTTGCTTACTAAGTCTGCCGATACCTATTGTACGTGTATTCCTTACTTACTAAGTCTGCCGATACCTATTGTACGTGTATTCCTTGCTTACTAAGTCTGCCGATACCTATTGTACGTGTATTCCTTGCTTACTAAGTCTGCCGATACCTATTGTACGTGTATTCCTTACTTACTAAGTCTGCCGATACCTATTGTACGTGTATTCCTTACTTACTAAGTCTGCCGATACCTATTGTACGTGTATTCCTTACTTACTAAGTCTGCCGATACCTATTGTACGTGTATTCCTTACTTACTAAGTCTGCCGATACCTATTGTACGTGTATTCCTTACTTACTAAGTCTGCCTGGTCTACAGGCACACTGATACTTTTAAAAAACTTTCGTCGCCCATGGAACACTATTCAATGCTTTCGTCGCCCATGGAACACTATTCAATGCTTTCGTCGCCCATGGAATACTATTCAATGCTTGCTGTCACACATGCCGCAGACATAACGGTTAGCGAGAGGGTAGTGTGTGTTCCTCAGTCATCGCTACACCGTGTGGATTGCCAATGCAGAAAAGCAGCACTTCACATGTACAAGTATGTGTAAACAACAATGGAAAGATACACTTCTAACACTTACCATGGATACGTATGGGCTGATCCAGGTGAATGCAAGCATGCCGTGAGCAACCAGGGTACCAAGGATGGCTATGAACACTGCATACAGCACAGCACGCAAAGAAGAACACGACTTAAATTAAGAGACTTCCCATCAGTACACAGCAATACAAGCAAAGAAGAACACGACATCAGAGATTTCCCATCAGTACACAGCAATACAAGCAAAGGAGAACACGACATCAGAGATTTCCCATCAGTACACAGCAATACAAGCAAAGAAGAACACGACATCAGAGATTTCACATCAGTACACAGCAAGAAGGTATCCCCACTTCCGCTCACGGCGGTAGTGATTAAAAGCCATACAATAGCACTCATTTCCCCCTTTGCCTCTCTTCCTCATCCTTCCTTCCTCATCCTTCAGCCCCTCGATAGGCTTCCACAGCCTTTGGTCAATCCTTAACAACATCAGTTTCTACAAGCAAGCCGTGTTCCTGAAAGAATCAACCTGTATAACGCTAGTAGAGTTGAGTACGGTGCAGACATGACTGGGACAACCATCCCTATTGACAAGACATACCCCATAGGAGATTGAGACCAGTCTTGTCCACAAGAATACCAAACAAAAACGAAGCTCCAAGTGAGATCAAGTACACCAGGCTGTAGACACACAATATGAACATTGAGTATGGACTTAGTCGGACGGAAACATATTATCACACGAAGAGACGGAGCTAGTTGTGAAACTGACGAGTTGTGCTTTGTCACACTATTACCATTGTACTGATTGAAAAGTAATGGTACGAAAGGCCACATCAGTTTCACAACTGGCTTTGTCTCTTCATGTGATAATATACTTTTAAAAGTAAAAAAATGCCGGAGCGTGCAGTGACTCGGTTAGACTGAGTCCACATGCGTAGGACTGTCACCACACAATATCACCACCTTCTCTTCAACACTGAGCAACATAGCGGCAGAATGGAAACACATGCACATATTCACTAGTGGTGGTTTAGCGTGTGCGCTAAGCCCTGTTAACGAACGTGGAACATCTACCACTCATACTTAGTCTGATGATCATGCATCTGATTATGATGTCATTGCTATACATGCGCATGCGCAGCGCGCGCCACTCTCCCACGCATGCATTCCAAATCTTGCTTTAGAGAGAGAGAAGGAGAAAAGAGAGACTCCTTTGTCACTTTTGCTTTCTGACGACTTGACTGTTCACTGGTTTGTCCGTCAGTGTCAATTTCCCCTTCCCTCCCAACCCCATTCGACTGGGGATCACTATCTCTCCGTCACTGTCACCATAATTTCCTCAATAACAGTGTCAGTACAATTCTTGTCAATATACTTATATCGGGTGAGGGCAGTCTATCTCCGCAGCTGGCTCATTTCAATCACTACCGGTCGCAGCTCCTGCCCACGGCAGGCCGACCGTCTCTCGTTCACACTCTGTGTGCTCCAGGTCACAGCTCCTGCGCAGAGCAGGCCGACCTGTCTGTCTCTCTCTCACACACACTATGTGTGCACCGGGTCACAGCTCCTGCGCAGAGCAGGCCGACCTGTCTTTCTCATGCACGCCAGCTGCTCCGCCCAATATCCCTGATATGCCAACCAGAAAACAATGTGTTCTGAGCCGGGTGCATGCTGTATGTGGAGAGTGCGTTAATAAGCAGCAGGAGTGATATCAGTAGTAGTTTCAAGAATTATGTACGGAATGGAACTTCAGCGTAAATATCCTGGCACAAAATTCTATTGCCACCAGATACAAAGCCATATTTGGGGACCTGGCATAATCACTGTTAGACGCAATGTTTTTGCCGAGAGCCAATCAACCTTGCAAACATGTGTAGCCGTGCGCTTTGGCTACCAAGCGCGAGTACAGACCATGAGGGCTCTTCGAGCTACGCTACACTGAGGTTGCAAGGTCCTACCGCGTGCACCGGCATTTGAAACACTGCATTTTACTGCACTTCCGATACCTTCTCACCAGACTGTTTAAAATTTAAAATTAAAAATTGTACGGGTTCACGTACAGGGCGGGTCAAGAACCACCTTTCCGCTTCCGTAGGACGCCACCACCCCATGATCAGGCATCAGATGCGGCTCCTAAACGGTGGGGGAAGATAGATCAGATCCACCAACCAGAGGCCAAAGGCCGAAATCCCATTTGCCAGACCATTCGCCTTCAACAAAATAATGAATTGGACTGCAGCGTGCCATTGCGGCATGTAGGACAATCATGGCCAACATTCAGCTGACTAAGGTCAAGCTACAGACTAGCAGACAGGTACAGGTGCATGCACTTCAGAATGTAGTACACAGGAGTCATACTTGTCACACCAGGCACCACTCAGAAAAGCTGACCTTCCCTAGCTCAGTGCTAACCTGAAAGCAATGGTTGCATTCATAAATGAAAGAAACTTGCCTGTTGACAAAATGAGCTGAATCTGACGGGAGGTTGAACTTGTCTTCAAAGAACACACTGCACAATAAAAACAAATTAAAAAGGGAACACAACCACAGCAATGAGGAGGTTCTTTTTTCCACAAACTAACGCTGCACATCCCATATCATCAGCCAAACACCTGGACATGCATGTACAATGTATGTAACGTTATACATGTACCAGCACTCCGCCACACTATCTTTGTACCAGCACTCCGTCACACTATCTTTGTGCAAACAATTCAGAAGCAGCCTGACATCAACATCGTACAGTGTATGGATATGTACTCACGTTCCCAAGCTGATGAATGGAAATATGGCAACATAGTATGTCACACAGATGATGAAGATGAGCCAGAGTGAAAGAGGAAAGTCTTTGATGTCACGCAAGTGTACAACCTCACCTACAGGAACGGATGTACATGTTTTAAAACACCAAAAGAGAAAGTGGCTCACACAAGTTCATACATAGCAATGATAGAGTATAGTCATGTAGAAGACAGGCTACAATAGTGAGAGTTACCAGATTACCTGGAGTGCTCAACACCACAAGGATTGCGCATTACCACAAAGGCAGAAGAGAACAGAGAGCCAGCTAGGTCATTGTTGTAATGCTGCGTTATGCACATAGCAAAGCTAAGGCAATCCTCAGACAACTGATAACCTGTACATCATCTGGGTCCAAATTTATACCCAGTCAGGTAGCAAAGCAAGGCGCGCAAAGCAGGCAGTAAAGCGCGCAAAGCAGGTAGCAAAGCGCGACATTACAAGTAACACGTTAGGCCGCAACCACACTACGTAAAAATCACAGTACAAATTTTCATGCATATCTCAGTACAAGTCGGTACGCAACCACACTACACTTTTCGGTCTGCATAGATGACGTTTTCACGCGAACAGCACGTGACGTTGTCGTACCAAAGCGTGTGCCATGCGCTGGAAAAGACCGGGAAATTCAAAAACAATGCTGATTCTGATGCTATGTACGACGACCAGGTACAAAAACAAAGTTGTACAGAGGAGATGGAGCGCGAAAACGACGAAAACGACAAACGTGGCTTTCTACAGGGGTGCGCCAGTTGCTGAAAACCTACAAAGCGCGTTTTGCATTTCGCATGCGTCGGCATGACGATTTCTACTGTAATGCAGTTTGTACGTGATTTTGTACCTAGTGTGGTTGCAGCCTTAGTTAGTGAGACATGGTGCGGATGGTGTCAGCTTTTACATGGGAGGTGAGAAGGAGGGAGAGAAGGAGAGGTGATAGTTTAGTTAGTTACAGTGACGGCAGGCAGACTCTGGGCCTGGTGGCGGCATGCAGGTGACTAAGTCACACCAGTGCCGTAGCGCGACAGCTAGAACTTAGGTAACATAAAAATCAGAATTAGTATCAAAATGTCGACACCAGAACGAGAGAGCTTGGAAGCTCAGGGCCCTACGCTATGCTTTTTTGCCTTGATGAGCTAGACAAAAAAAGCATAGGGATGTTATAAATTCTTATAAATTTCTTAAACATAACCTGGGATTCGAACCCGCACTATCGCCCTGCATGCATCCCCCGATACAGTTCGCATACATACCAATTCTTCCAAGTTGCTTCACGTTATGATCTTGTATTTGAAAGCCCTATTTGAATATGCATTGTGGCCAGCCGCCTTTGAATGTACGGTACGGTACGGGATAGGTACGGGATATGTACGGGCCAGGTACGGGATAGGTACGGGATATGTACGGGCCAGGTACGGGACAGGTTAGGGACATGTACGGGACAGGTACGGTCGAGGGTAATACGACACCGTCTACCGCCTTGATTAAATCAAGAGTACATAACCCCCCAGAGTGTGCAACTCCCACATACATGTACCCTGCTGTCCCGACAGAATTTCAAGTTGACGTCATTATTTATGACGCAATGCTCCTTGCACCAGTGATTTACAACATGTGTACGGGTGTCAACGCATCACATGTTTTTCTTTGCAATAATTTGTACAGGATCGATCGGCTTCGATCAACCACAGGTTCCGGATTCGTCTGATAATCCGTGTACAGTGCGCATTGCATCATCAAAATGACGTCAACTTGAAATTCTGTCGGGACAGCACCCATAGTGGAGTTGCAACCTCTGGGGGGGGGGGGGGGGGGTTATGTACTCTTGATTAAATTGATGACGGCAAAAAAAGAAAAGGGATGTTATAAAATTTTCAATTCTCCTATTTTTTCAGGCATTACCTGGGATTCGAACCCACACTATCGCCCCACATGCATTCCCCCATACACTTCGCATTCATACTCATTCTTCCAAGTTGCTTCACGTTATGATCTTGCGTTTGAAAGCCCTATTTGAATATTGCGGCCAGCTGTATGTGGCCAGCTGTGTTTGATGGTACGGTACGGTACAGGACAGATACGGGATAGCGCCAGGCGTGACACAAACACCCAAACAAACAAACAAACACCAAACGAGAGAGCTTGGAAGCTCAGGGCCCTACGCTATGCTTTTTTGCCTTGATGACCTAGACAAAAAAAAAGCATAGGGATGTTTTGAATTCTTTAAAAAAATCCTTTTTTTTTTAAGACATAACCTGGGATTCGAACCCGCACTATCGCGCGCCCTGCATGCATCCCCCGATACACTTCGCATACATACTGATTCTTCCAAGTTGTTTCACATTGTGATCTTGTGTAGCACTCTGCTCTCTGATTGCTTCTGCCTTCGTTCTGCCACAACACACACAGCTGCCCGTACACGTTCCCAGTCCATAGATTCACTTGCTCTGCCTAAAGCACGCAATCGTTATGGCTTATTCGCTTTGAGCTTTCTGGCTTCTGACCGCTGGAATTCTCTTCCAGCTGACATTCGCTCTTGCTCCTCGCTTTCACTATTCTGCAAATCTGTATGTGATCACATAGGGTACCCTGTAAAAAGGCCTTAGGGCCTGGTCAGACTGCGGCAAAATCGAAATAATCCTAGGATTATAATCCGAATCTCCATAGTAACTTGCCGCCAGAGCGGCAAAAGCGAGAGTTGACGCTCCAAAAAAAAAGCAAGAATGGACCACGCTTTTCCGCTCCAAACAGGATTTGACGCTGATACGCCATTGACGCTCATAATCACTGATTTTTTCATCTCGATATCGAGGAGCTAATTGGCCACGGACAACAACAAAACTCATAAGGATGGTTTCAAGGATTGCACTGAAGGTGTTGGCGATCCCCAAGGTGAAGGAATTTGACGTCGTTCGTGGAGATTACCACTTGACGCTCGAAATGAAGTTTGAATTTTCACTCTCCCCCATGTGTAGTGTGATCGCGATTCAAATTCTGGACGCTGTTCCTTTTTCGTCAGGCAACCAAAATTTGCCGCAGTCTGACCAGGCCCTAAGGCCTGTGGGGATTGCCCTATTCAAAGTTTAAATAATAATAATAATATAAATAATCTTGCATTTGAAAGCCCTATTTGAATATGCATTGTGGCCAGCCGTCTTTGATGGCATGGTACGGTAGTGGATAGGTACGGGACAGGTACGATCGAGGGTAATACGACACCGTCTCCCGAACCGTACCGTACCATCAAACACAGCTGGCCACATACAGCTGGCCGCAATATTTAAATAGGGCTTTCAAACGCAAGATAATAACGTGAAGCAACTTGGAAGAATGGGTATGAATGCGAAGTGTATGGGGGAATGCATTTAGGGCGATAGTGCGGGTTCGAATCCCAGGATTTGCCTGAAAAAAATAGGAAAAATCGAAAAATTTATAACATCCTGTGCTTTTTTGCCGTCAGATACGGATAGCGCCAGACGTGACACAAACAAACAAACAAACAAACACACACACAAATATCAAACGAGAGAGCTTGGAAGCTCAGGGCCCTGCGCTATGCTGTGTTGCCTAGCTCATCGTGCATGTTGTTAGAACTGATGGAAATGCTTTTTACATCTACATGACTGTAACGTTATATTTATTATGCTATTGGCCTACATGCGATTCCCGGGCGGTTCGACAGGCGGCCCAGCCAGCCTGCTAGTGGGATCTCGGCCTCGCACACAAATCCACACAAAATCTTACTGCACTGAATGCATTCCCCCGATACACTTCGCATTATATACTCATTCTCTTGATGGTACGGGACAGGCACGGGATAGCGCCAGGCATGTCGATGGCACAAACAAACAAAAATATTGTGGCTTTGCTGGTACGGTACAGTACGGGACAGATACGGGATAGTGCCAGCCGTGACACAAACAAACAAACACACAAACAAACACCAAATTAAAGCTGTGTGGACCCTGGCTAGCGCCAGACGTTACTGAAGTAACGTCTTCTGCATAGCTACGGGAATTAAAGCTGTGTGGACCCTGGCTAGCGCCAGACGTTACTGAAGTAACGTCTTCTGCATAGCTACGGGAATTAAAGCTGTGTGGACCCTGGCTAGCGCCAGACGTTACTGAAGTAATGTCTTCTGCATAGCAACGGGAATAAGTTCTAGCTGTCGCGCTACTGCACTGGTGTCGACACCAGAATAAGTTCTAGCTGTCGCGCCACTGCACTGGTGTGACTTACTAAGTTAGTCACCTGCCTGCCACCACTAGGTCACACTAGGTCACACTAATGTCGCGCTTAGCTACCTGCTTTGCGCGCTTTACTGCCTTTGTGCGCCTTGCTTTGCTACCTGGCTGGGTATAAATTAGGACCCAGATGATGTACAGATTATCAGTTGTCTGAGGATTGCGTTAGCTTTGCTATGTGCATGAAACGCAGCGCTACAACAATGACCTAGCCGGCTGTCTCTGTTCTCTTCTGCCTTTGTAGTAGACAGGCTACAAACATTTCAGCTAAGTAGTTACATGTACATGTACGATGTGCGTGTAGTAAAGCTTAGGCAGCTTTACACTTTGAGATCAAAAGAAACATGAACATTATGAAATGAGCATGGGATTGAGATGTCACCTATTGGTAACACCTGTGCATACATTGGTGATGTTGTGCATACATTGGTGATGGGTGTGCATACATTGGTGATGCTGTGCATACATTGGTGATGCTGTGCATACATTGGCGATGCTGTGCATACATTGGTGATGCTGTGCATACATTGGTGATGCTGTGCATACATTGGTGACGCTGTGCATACATTGGCGATGCTGTGCATACAGCGTACAAATACCACAGATTGATGGTGTCGCTATGGGCTCTCCACTTGGCCCGGCGTTTGCTAATGTTTTTGTTGACAGACAGTGAGTCAAGTGCGAGAGAGAGTGAGTGTTGGTGTGTGTGCGGAAGCAGGAATTCGTCAGTTTATAGTCATCTAGCGTCTAGCCCTGATTTCTGTGATGTGCCATGCCCGTTATGGCTACAAGTTGCAGTTAAAAGTGTTAGAAGCTGTTTGTCAACGTATTCATCAGCCAAATTGGTGTGTTCATAAGGGTACTACTCTATCACTAGTTGTCATAAGGGTACTACTCTATCACTAGTTGTCATAAGGGTACTACTCTATCACTAGTTGTTAGGGTACTACTCTATCACTAGTTGTTAGGGTACTACTCTATCACTAGTTGTTAGGGTACTACTCTATCACTAGTTGTTAGGGTACTACTCTATCACTAGTTGTTAGGGTACTACTCTATCACTAGTTGTTAGGGTACTACTCTATCACTAGTTGTTAGGGTACTACTCTATCACTAGTTGTTAGGGTACTACTCTATCACTAGTTGTTAGGGTACTACTCTATCACTAGTTGTTAGGGTACTACTCTATCACTAGTTGTTAGGGTACTACTCTATCACTAGTTGTTCTATTGTCACCTTGTTACAGGTGTTATTTTCACTTTTTTGCAATTTCACTACAATACTGTCAAAGTGAGTGGAGCAGTATCCTGCAATGGTCCAAAGGCCCCCCACGCTATTGGTGGCAGTGATATGTCGCGAATATATACTTCAAAACAGGAAACCTTGTGAGGTTTATCAACGCGAAATGATTTTTTCTCGAAGTTATAAAACGTATAGTAGCAGCAGCAGCTCAGCCTTTACTACTCCCTTTCTTCAAGGGCGTACCGAGGAAAGAGAAAGTAACTTTCGCCAATCACTGCAACTTCGCGTCAAAGCTTTCGAAGTTTTGAGCTTTGTTTCTGTGCTCATTCCCCAGACTCGAATTTTCTTTCAAACTTTCGCATTGCTAAACGTCCCCATTGTCCAACATTTTTCTCCATACTCTAGTAACATATTCTTGATTGCCTTAGTTTAATAACTTGGATTCATTTGTTCATCGAAGCACATGTACAATGTAGCCGTTATACATGTCGATCCAGCTGGTCCTTTTGACGGTGATTCTTCTAGACACCAGAACAGTAGACCTACCGGTTTCAGCAGCTTCCAGATTGAGCCAGCGTGAGCGGCGCTTGTCAAAGTAAAGAAGAACGAAGGCACACACCATGGAGAAGACGCAATACATCACTCCTGCAGATAACACACACACACACACACACACATACACACATCAAGAGTCCATAACCCCCCAGAGTGTGCAACTCCAGGTTGGGGTCTGGCGCAACGAAATCCAAACATTGCGTCATCCGGTCCCCGGGCAAGCATGGGCGGATGGGGCCATGTGCATATCTGGTACATCCGGCGGGGGTTCCAAGTGGAAGCAAGCCACGGAAGTGTCACGTAAAACGTTTGCTCCACGGGCTATGCAGTGTCAGCAGAACGGCTTTGATTTCACAGTCACAGAATTTTTTTATTTGAAGAGAGTTTCTCTGCTCGTTGTCTGAAAAGCTTGTATTGGGAGAGTTCGTGACTCCGGGATAGCAAGAATAGGCATGGATATAGATTTACAAGATTTGATGGAAATAGCTCTTGGCACGGCATGAAGACCCGATCGATTTCGAAGTAGATGTGCTTCAACCTGCTCCTCAGTCCCATTTTGGTACAATTTCCAACACTCGACAATCGAGAGAAGAAAATGAGGAGCCCAGATCAAGCAAAAACTGACGAATATCGTCCACAGAGACACTGCACTCCGGCGACAATGGGGAGCGCTTTGCTTTAGGTTCAACAGTGGCCATTGTTCTTCTCTTATCGGAGAGACACTCAAAAGAGAAAACTGTTCGACAACTCTAAAATAATTCTTTGTGTACTTGAGCCTTTCAGTTTCAGGCGTGTTACGTGGCCGTGGATTCGTAAAGAAAGACCCCAAATTGGGCAAACGGGCGAAGTAGGTCCGGGCCAAACTTCCCATTTCGTCATAGCTACTCACTACATGACGTATGAAGTTTGGATTTCGTTGCGGCACTGATTTGTGCTGAGAAGGATCACGAGTTGCACACTCTGGGGGGTTATGGACTCTTGACACATATATATACACACACACACGTACACACACGTACACACACACACACACACCAGCACCAACACCAGCACAGATATGAGGCAGGCCAGCTCAGCGAAAGTACCCAATGACATGAACAAGGAAGGGAAATTCACTGGTTTACATCTGCAGAGTAAGGTTTGGATAAGACAAGACAAACATAGCATCACTCCATGGCAGCTACCTAGCCAAAAACTTACCAGTGAAGAAGGTAAATGCCAGCCGTTGGTAATCTTTGTCAAAGTGAACAGCATTGTAGGTCTTCTCTATACTCAACATGTTTACTGTACTACCCTGAATGCACCAACAGAAGAACAGCATACTGTGCTGGTGAATGCACCAACAGAAGAACAGCATACTGTGCTGGTGAATGCACCAACAGAAGAACAGCATACTGTGCTGGTGAATGCACCAACAGAAGAACAGCATACTGTGCTGGTGAATGCACCAACAGAAGAACAGCATACTGTGCTGGTGAATGCACCAACAGAAGAACAGCATACTGTGCTGGTAACAAGACTGCTACATGTACATGTACATGTACTCACAATCTCACACACAATCACACAGGGGGGACACTGATGCACACAATCACACAGGGGGACCTTACACACAATCATAAGGGGGGGGGGGGGGAGGCACTTATCCACACAATCTACCAGGGGGACACATGCACACGATCATACAGGGGATACTCATGCACACGATCACACAGGAGATACTCATGCACACAGTCACACAACTTACCATCCTGGAAAAGCTAAGCTGAAGGCCAAATGCCATGTTGAGCTCGCGACCCTTGAACCAGCTGACTGCATAGGTATTTTGTGCCACTGCCAGATTCTCCCCTCCCAGCCTAGGAAGATACACCCAGGGAAAAACACCCACAACCGTACACACCCGTACACCCACACACGCGCACAAGAGCATGTGCGCGTGTGCATACCCACATACCCAAAACCACACATGCACACGCACACATCCGCCCACAGCGGTAGACATATACACACACACACAGCAAATAAGAAATAGAAGACAACGAGGTGAATATTGGTTCTCAGAAATCCATATACAGTACTCATCCGGCGGATATGTGTGAATATACAGTGAAGATGGGATATAACGACACTCCTTCGGGAGAGAACAAAATGTCACTATATTCGATCTGTCACTAAACCCGATCTTCCCAATTGATATGCAATATGTATATCAAAATGCCAAGAGGCCCTCTAAATCACAGCTGATGTCAGTGATCAGGAAGCTGGCCCCTCCCGATTCCCTCCCCCCCCCCCTCCTGTCCAATTCCTTGGCACCCCTGTTCCTGTCAGCAGCCAATTGAAGCTCCTTGGGGTGGTGTTCGACGAGAAGCTCAACTTCAGCAACCACCTTCACCAGCTTTCCGTGCGCGCACATCAACGTCTCCATTTCATGCGGAAGGCAGCCCCAATCCTGGACGCTGCCGGACGCCAAACCGTGTATAAGGGCTTTGTAAGGCCGATACTCGAGTATGCCCCACTAGCCTGGCTTGGTGCTGCCCAGACCCACCTTGGGAAGTTGGACACAGCACAGCGCAAGGCCATGCAGATGATTGGACCCACCACCGTCCTCCAGACTCTGCGGGCCAGACGGACAGTCGCAGGGCTGTCCTATCTTTACAAGGTAGTTAACTGCAAGGGCCCACCCCGTCTCCCCCCCCCCCCCCCCCCCCAAACCACGAGCCGATACTGTTCGAACCCGCCAGCAGCATTATGCTCAGCACCAGCACCGGGAACAGCTCTTAAACACCACCCCCGGCACCAGTCCCGATTACCTTCGACGTTCCTTCCCGTACTGTTTCCTTGAATTGTGGAACAGCCTCCCTGAGGACGTCTTTCCCCGTCCGGCCAATCACACCCCACTCACAGCTTTTAAAAAAGGCGTCAACAAACACAATATCAGAGCAGCCATGGTCTTGGGACATGCTTTGAAGCCCATCATGTTGATCGTCTCACTGTTCTTTCCTGATCGCACCTCTCGGTTTGGGGATGTGCGTTGAAGCACACCATACTAACGGTCTATACTGTCCTCTCTTGGTCACCACTCTCCCTATTACCTTTATTGTAATTGCTATTCATGTATTGTGCTTTTGATTTTTCCGTTTTTGCCTTTTGGTGCGTTACCGGCATGGCGATACTGAGACCTATTGGTCAGTGGAGTCACGAGCCTGTAGCCTCACCAGCACTGCTACTATCTGTGACTGTGGCGACCACCATTCAATGTCTTGTCCTCCCCAAACCGTACCCCAGCTCTCTCTCTCTCTCTCTCTCTCTCTCTCTCTCTCTCTCTCTCTCTCCACCTATCTGCCTTGTCTTACTCTTTTTTTCTTTGTCAGCTTTCCTGGTGGTTATGTGCTTTTCAAGTAAATAAAATAAAATAATTACTGCAGATGTGCATGAGCATAATTCATATGGATTTCAGATGTACATGTACATGTGTGTGCCATTGCGGCATGACGTACATGTACGGTGTACGGTGGCACGCATGGCCTGGAGATCCTGACATGTGACACAGACATGTTCCATGCATGCCAGTCCACCTGATACAACAGGAACGTCACTTGGTGCATTTTCAGGTCTTCGGGTATAATACCCATATATACCCGATCTAATATGTGCGCCAGGTACTTGCTAAACGACTTGGGCAACAGGATCGTGTCGCTAAACTCAATCTGTTACATGCAAGGTCGCTATGTCCGATCTCCATTGGGTGCGTTCGATTATTGCCATGAATCGATTCATGAATGGAATCTCGATTTCATGTCATGAGCCCTGGAATGGGTTCCGGTGCTCCACAAGGCTCAAGTCTTGGGCCATTGCTCTTCCTAGCGTATGTTAACAAGGGTACATGAAACCCAGAGTGTGCAGCTCGCATGGGCTGCTGTCACGGCAAAATTCCGCGATTACATGATTCTGGTTATGTAGTGCATACAAGCAAGATTCAAGCAGGTCTCCTTGCTGGACAACTGCAGCTTAGTTGTACGCATTACACTACTTCCCGCAGCATATCTGCACCAACTATGATGTTATCCTGGATTTTCGCCATGACAGACGAGACCCAAGCAGAAAAATGAGCTGCAGCTGCACATTCAGAGTTCCCTGTAGTCTTGACGTTAATGATCTGCCCTCCACAATGGACGGAGTTTCTCTCTTCGCCGACAATACGACTCCTGTGCATGCCGGCACCAATCCTCCTAAGTCACTTACGGGATGTCAGGCATTGCCAAGATTGTGGCCTTGATGGATAAATGGAGGCTTGGACCCAACATGCAGAAAAAATGTCATGAGAGCCTACGTGGTAACGAAACTTTACAGAAGACTGCTCCAGTAATTGCCTTTGTTTTAAGCTCTTTGCTTACAGTGCAAATACTCACCGTTCTATTCCTGGTTCCTTCACCTCTCTTCACTTCCTCCCTGTTTCACTTCTCATTCCTCCCATCACCCCTACCAGGAAACTCCCTAGTAAATATTCATACTGAAGTATACTTTCGGAGAAATAGTCAAACAAAACATGAATGAGAAAACTTCACACTGCAGTGAATGCACTAAACGTTGTCATCGCCGCATATGCTACTGAGCCAACATCAACTTACCCAAAGACAAACCGACCGATTTGCATGATAAGGAAGGAATTGACCTGCGCACCCATAGCAAAGATGATCTACAAAAACAAAACAAAAACAGTTTCAACTTTCAACGCCAACAAATAGACCTTGCTCATCACAATACAGAAAAGAAAAGAAAAAGGTGTCAGTGCAGAGTACATAAGCTAGTTTCACAGGTACACACAAGGATATGCTTTCTTATACTGCATTGTAGCATCAGTAAACTGCCCGCACACAGGTCAAACTTGATTCTATCAGCCATCTCGGCTGTGACATACCTGACCAATCAGAATAATGGCAGTAAATATAATGGTTCCCCACCTGAATAACAAAAATGAACACCATGACACAAGCAACAGGCATAGAGAGAGAGAGAGAGAGAGAGAGAGAGAGAGAGAGAGAGAGAGAGAGAGAGAAAGCTGTGTTACAACTCCGAGTTTCACGTAGTCATGACCATCAGGCAACGTGTACCAAGCAGTTATCCCATGGTACGGTACTATAGGCCTGTTTCAGCCAATCAGGAGCCTTGCTGACCGGGAAATAATAGCCAATACAATCCCGCGCGGGATGATATTCATTATTAACTGGGTTCACTTTTACCGTACCTACTACGGTGCACCCTGCATTGGCATGCCCCACCCCCTCTCGATTCGATGCAATGCATCTTGCCACTGGAGTCCTTTTGATCAGAACCCAGCGACAAAATGCACTACACAGAACCGTGAGAGGGTGGGAGCATGCCAATGCAGAGTGCACCGTCGGTACAGTAAAAGTGAACGGAGAGAACTTACCTCCGCGACTACGTCCAAATCCAGATTCCACACAAACAAACAACGAACTCCAATCACTATTCAACTCAACACTACGACACAAAGGAGACTTCGAAGTGCATCTGTTCTCATTCACTCTTTGTTAACTCGAAAACTACACAAAGTATCAACATCCGAGTGAAAATCACTAATTGCAAGGAGAGATACCGTAACAACTCGAAAAGTACCAGACGTGAAAGTGAGAGGAAAAATCTTGTACAGAATATTCAACAGTGTGAAAGAAGAAGAGCTCAGCAATCCATGTGTGATGTAGATAAGATATGGATGCAAGATGCGACCCGCAGAGATTATCATGACATTGTATCCAGTACGATTACCACAAGAACAATATAAAACGTAGATGCTGCTACAAATCCAGTATGCCTATAATATAACAAGATCAACGTTCTTCTGATTGCATAGTGTCCGAGAGTGATACAACGAAGAGTCTTGATACAACGAAATGCACTTTACTCACTAGTGCCAATGTCCGACGATATGTACAATGTGGTTACTGCCTGCACGGACAGTGTTCAGCAAGGATCCCAAACCGTTGAAAGTTCCACGCCGATCCAATGACAAGGAAGTCAGCACCAGCCTCCATAATGACGTGGTATCTCGCCGTGACTTGAAGTATGGCCCTTACTTTGAACCAAATGACTATGTATCATAACAGTGCAATCTTCGTCAGTTCTCTAGTCCAACTACTAAAATGCAACTTGTCTCCCGAGCTCCATCGCTCTCTAACCTTGACTGGATTGAAAAGAATCTTGCATCTTGTTTTTGGTATAGCTGTACCTTGGTAATTGTATTCAAAACGCAGTTGCGTCGATCCCCAAAATGCGTAGATGTACCTGGGATAAGTAGGATATTGACCCGCGTACTCGGGTGTTACCGTACCCTCATATCATCCCTCCTGCTACGCAGTCGGGATGATATTCGGGAGGTAACACCCTCGTACTTGGGTAATATCCTATACTTATTCTACTCTTCCCAATAGAGGAGAGTACAACCATCACAATGCAGCACAACACAGCACAACACACCACACATCACTACAAAGAATCCACTGAGACTGTGAGAGGTAGACTAGCAAATGAACCACAAAGGTGAGGAGCAGTACATTATAAAGGTGAACAGAGGTGCGACAGAACACTGCACTGCCCTGCACTGCACTTGCACCTTCAGGTCAGCACATGAGTCTGCGTGTTTACAGGCACATGCACAAGTACAGGTGCTACACTGCACCATACACAAGTACAGGTGCTACACTGCACCATACACAAGTACAGGTGCTACACTGCACCATACACAAGTACAGTTGCTACACTGCATACAAATTACTAGTACTATAAGATTTCTACCAGCAGTCACACATATCCTATCAGCAGTCACACATATCCTATGGAACGCACAGCAAATAGCTTAGCGCCCGGTGAGGTGCTCAGCTTGACACCAAGTAGAGCGTGCCAGCAAGTGAGTTATGGTTGCATCCTATTCGCTATCACAAATCTCACCACAGCTGTCACAGATGCAAGCAATGTGCAGAGGCACAAGTTGCTAATACCCTCGCTATTAGATAGCAGCTCCTACAAAAGCCAAAGGTGACACCCAGCAGCAGTAAAGATGATAAGAAGTTTGAAGTACATGACATCAACACCTTCAGAAACACTGTATCCATTTTACTTGTAGATGTACAAACTACAGTTGCGCTTGGTGAAATCTCCTTTTCTATAAGTCTCAGGCATCAGGGGATTTTTGATTGTTCTCTACTGAATGAGGTTTGTCTTGTAGCCGATGTCGTACTAACGAGGGTAGACTGTGCTGGTAGATAACGTACTAACGAGGGTAGACCTGTGCTGGTAGATATCGTACTAACGAGGGTAGACCTGTGCTGGTAGATATCGTACTAACGAGGGTAAACCTGTGCTGGTAGATGTCGTACTAACGAGGGTAGACCTGTGCTGGTAGATGTCGTACTAACGAGGGTAAACCTGTGCTGGTAGATGTGTACGTCCAGCCGCATTCGTACCACTCCCAGTGCGGCAAGGGCCGTGCAAGTTGAGGGCGTCAACTATGCACCTTAGATAGGATTTCACCGAGCACAACTGTACATGCACACAATAACAAGTTACACTGCCAATCAAAACACACACACACACACACCTTGACCTTTGACGCCCATCGCCGGAGACGATGATAGCAATGCTACAGCAGAAGCCATAGCAACTTGTGCTGGGATTGCACCATTCAACAGCTTGCAAGACTGAAGAATTGACCGTCACTATTCAGCCTGGTCTACACCATACAGCTATTTGAAGTGATTTTCTGGCCAGTGAATCCCTATTTTACACACACACACACACCTCAGTTCTCAGACATGCCCATCGCGTAAGCGATGATAGCGAACAGCTATGTTAGACATAGCAACTTGTGCTGGGATTACACCATTCAACAGCTTGCAAGACTGACACACACACACACACACACACACACACACACACACACACACACACACACACCCACACACACACACACACACACACACACACACACACACAAGTTGTAGCAAGTGTGTTTCTGGTTGTGGCTGAAAAGCACAGTGTCAGTTACTTACCGAATACCAAAAACTCGGTCTATGAGAAAGCCTCCAAAGGCACTCAGCACCACATTAGGCCACGAGTACAGCGAATAGAGAAGCTCAAACTGTTCTGTATCCACTTTCATCACCTGCATATGACACACATGCACGCACGCACACACACACACGCACGCACACACACACAAACGGCATGCAAAAGAAGTAACAGGTAAAGAAGAGCTGTGTAAGCATTCAACTGGACACATGAATTCTAACAGTAGCAACCATCCCGGCAGTCATTACTGTAAAGTGAGAAACTTTCGCGGCGTGTAAAATTGACATTTTCACGAATACTGTATAGCAGGAAATTTTCGGACGGAAATATTTTCGGACAAAGCCGAATTTCGACCTTTCGTCCGGATTTTATTTTCGTACAGTGCTGCATGCTAAATGCACGTGTTCGCAAGCAGTACCCATGTATAGTGTACATAATTTCACGGGAACAAATTTTAGTACGGAATTAATTTTAGTACAAAAGAGGCCGTGTACGAAATCGTACGAAAATAAATTCCGTCCGAAAATTTCCTGCTATACAGTAACACCAGTATAAATACCGATAAGAAATTTTCGCGATTATATATATTTTTCAGTTGGATCATGTATTGTTCCCAATCAATGCACAGAAAGTTTGCGTCGATTTGGATTTGCAAATGAGTGATGGTCGCGGAAATTGCCAAATTTAATCTTAGCGAAAGTTTCCAGCTTTTCAGTATTGAACTCAACAAACAATACCACTAGCATATCTTTAGCCGTGCCAGATTCTGCTACTGAGTACAGCTGTAATGGTTACAAGAACACAGCCAGTATCCAGTCATAGTGGTTAATTGGGCACTATACCTATACTGTCTCGGCCGGACGAGACAGACACCAGCGGCACGAGAAAGAGAGAGAGAGACGGGCCACGAGAAAAAAAAGAGAGAGAGAGAGAGAGAGAGAGAGAGAGAGAGAGAGAGAGAGAGAGAGAGAGAGAGAGAGAGAGAGAGAGAGAGAGAGAGAGAGAGAGAGAGAGAGAAAGAGAGAGAGAGAGAGAGAGAGAGAGACGAGCCATGAGAAAGAGAGAGAGAGAGAGAGAGAAAGAGAGAGAGAGAGACGAGCCACGAGAGCCACGAAAAAGAGAGAGAGATAGAGACGAGCCACGAGAAAGAGAGAGAGACGAGCCACGAGCCACGAGAAAGAGAGAGAGACGAGCCACGAGCCACGAGAGCCACAAGCCACGAGAAAGAGAGAGAGAGACGAGAGAGAGACGAGCCATGAGAAAGAGAGAGAGAGAGAGAGAGAGAGAGAGAGAGAGAGAGAGAGAGAGAGAGAGAGAGAGAGAGACGAGCCACGAGAGCCACGAGAAAGAGAGAGAGAGACGAGAGCCACGAGAGAGAGAGAGAGAGAGAGAGAGAGGGAGAGAGAGAGAGAGAGAGAGAGAGAGAGAGAGAGAGAGAGAGAGAGAGAGAGAGAGAGAGAGAGAGAGAGAGAGAGAGAGAGAGAGAGAGAGAGAGAGAGAGAGAGCCACGAGAAAGGGAGAGAGCCACGAGAAAGAAAGAAAGAAAGAGAGAGAGAGAGAGAGAGAGAGAGAGAGAGAGAGAGAGAGAGAGAGAGAGAGAGAGAGAGAGAGAGAGCCACAAGAAAGAGAAATAAAATCAAATAGAACAAGAAAGAGATGATGGACGAGGGTAGTTGCTCATTGACGAGTGACATAGCCTCACAGAGAGTCCATTGGACAGAGCCAGTTAGTTTGACGCAAGTGGCAGAGGACCTTTGTCTTGAAGGATTGGAGACTTCAACTGGGGCATCGGTTCCGGAAACATGTCTTGCAGAAGCCTGTTCCATTCATCCACTACACCATATGGGAACGAATGCTGGAGAAAGTTGGGGGCCGTAGGGAGGAGCACTGTTTGTAGCTGATGCTGATGGCGGACATGGAGCTGTGACCTTCATGGACGTGTATGTATTGTATATGGACTTAATTGAAACTCAATCCCATGCTATAGTGACAGCGGCCGGACGAGACAGCGGCCGGACGAGACAGCGGCCGGACGAGACAGCGGCCGGACGAGACACCAGCCGGACGAGACACCAGCCGGACGAGGCACCAGCGCCACGGGAAAGAGAGAGACGAGCCACGAGAAAGAAAGAGAGAGAGAGAGTTAGCAGAGGTCACAGGGTTGGAATCTCGCCACAGGCTTCGACAGCAGAACCTGCCCAATCAGTCTTGCCTGGGCATCAGTCGTCAACACCATTGCCACCTACTGTAAAAGCCATATAATTATATATAACAAAGTGCTAACTCTAACGAGTTAACGAGGAGAAATCTGTCGTTAAAATAGAAATCGTTATACAGAAATCGATACATATACCGTCCTATTGAGCGTTGAGAATGAGTGAGAATCGTTACCTTTCGTACACGTAAACTAGTCAATTTTGGGAAATCGTTATATATGCGCCTCGTTAGAATAATGGCTTTACAGTAGCAGCAGTAGGCCCAGTGTACCTGCTGGGCCTGACAGCTCCGCACCTCCAGGCGCTGGAGGACGTCATGCCGTGCTGCCAGTGTCCATTAGGTCGGAAGTGTGTGAGATGCAGCTGCGTTCAGCGAGGAAGCAGGTGTATAGATTGTTACCCAGGCAGGTCGCTGCCCAGCACGTGCAACAATTCACCATCTCTCTCCCAGCCTACCGGCGCTAGCAATATTGATAGCATTGGCGTCAAACGTCCAGCCAGCCAGCCTCCCACAGTCGCCTCTGCGCCCCGGGGTGGTGATTGGGCTAAAGACAGTTCCTCACCTCAAGACAGTGGCAGTGACAACAACTTGCTCCATACCCACTCGCCACCTTCGTCAGAATCAGCATGCAGGGAGCATGTAGGCGCTGGCCCTTCACCTGCCGGGGATCGAGTCACTGATACAGTCAGTATCGCCTATAGCGTTGGTGTTTGATTTTGAGCATTTTATCACTATATTAAAGCGATATATCACTATGACCGATACTGCATGCAGTATATGCGAGTGGGGTATCAAACGACTCAGCGCGCCGTGCACATACGCACTGCATAGCTGGCTACAGCTCCTGACACACAACATCAGTATTTCCTCACGATAGAAGCATATTTGGCAACTTGTACAAGCAGAAATCACCAAACAACACAGGACAAGTTCTTCACGAAGAAGTAACACCCTGTTCTCCTCTGACACCACTTGATGTTAGATCAATCACTATAACCGATGCAAAACTAATGTAATAAAGGTCTTTGGAAATATGAATTTGATCACTATAGGCGATATATTACTATAGACGATTATTACTATACGCGATAACTGTGCATACTTAGTCATGGCAAATGAAAATGAATTTGAGAAATTGATCACTATGGCCTACTATAATCCACCAACCTTATAGGCGATACTACTGACTGTACATCCTCTTCCACCCATGATGATAGCCTTGGCACCTCAGCAGCTGATACTTCGCGGGATGCTTCCAGCCCGTTGGCCGTGGATGATGGTGGTGTGGGAACTCTGGTCTCAGTGTCCAATGTTGTTCTTCCAACAGCATCCCAAGTGGAGCTCCTTGCTAGCCTAAGCACCTCAGATCCTGAGCTTTCTGGCCAATCGGCGCGTCAAAGAGCCACGGAGAACATGGTATCTCACTCTCTCGCAATGAGTCATGATCTACGGCACCCGTCACAGTCAGCCCCCTGCTCAAGGGATCTAACCCACGCACATGCAAATGACATTGGTGTGCAGTGTTGCCAGTGTCAGGCAAGTGGATCTTGTGTGAGGTGCTCATGTGTTCGCGCTGAGAAGGGATGTGTGAACTGCTAGCTCATGTCGGAACCCTCACAGCGCGTTGCCCCAGGTGCTAATAGCGCCTGCGCATCCTGCGGGGAGGACCACTAGTACCACACCCGCCTTAAGCCAAATTGTGAGTACTGGCGCTAGCTCAAATGTTGCGGCACCCGGCGCAGGCGGATATACTCTCCCGCCACGACCTTCAAGTGGCACGTCGCAGCCTTTGGGTGGGGGCTGACACTCGTCTCGAGACTTTGGCGCCAGGTCACAGTCCATCCATGGTGCCGATCCACGTCTTGCGCCTTCCTCCACGCATGTGCCTGGACCCAGTGAGCCGGATGCACGGGATTCAGAACGGTCAGTCGGAACTGATCCTTTCGTGGAGCAGGTAACTGCTGCCTACGAGGTGGTGGCGGGATGGAGACGCAACCTGTTCATTGTTCCTTACGGAGCCTCTGCCTTTGTTGGGGAGTTAGCCAGGCTGATTCAGTGTTTCGCAGATGATGGTAATCATCAGAGTATTGCCTGGAGGGCGGTATGCACTGCCTGCCATCTCCTGCTTCAAAAGTCCCACGATTCGAAGATGATGAAAAACCAGGCTGACCACCTGACCCACCGGCTGTCGCTCTGGAGATCTGGCAGAATTCCCGAACTGGTGGAGGAGGGTGAGGCTATCCAGTCTCATCTGCCGATACTCCCATCATGCGCATCGTCACTCGCAGTCACCAGAGCGGAGTGATGTGGTACAGCAAAACCTGGTGTAAGCGACCTCTGTGTTTAGCGAACACCTGCTCTTAAAGGGGAAGTTAAGGCAAAAATTAAAAGTTCACCAGTTGTAGTCTTCGGGGTGCTGAGTCGAATGGTCGTGGTCCGAGAAAGCTGAGACGCTCCCTTCCTACTTGAATCCCAATCGAACTCGCGGACTTCCACCGAAACTGGGTGACTGCGCCCTACTAGATGGGGATTTGTATGCAAAATGTCACTAAAAGCGCCATTTCGTTCTTATAAAAGCATGGATGACCGCGATTGGCCCATATGTTGTAGTCTTTTGGACGCTGAGTCGATTAGTTTTGGTCCGAAAAGGCTGCGATGCAGCGTTCCTCCTTTATTCCCAATCGAACATGGCTGAAGAAGCGGTCACGTGCTCCTGCGTACACCAGTCACCTGGTCACCGTGCCTGCAGGGTACAACTTACTAGCCTGTTTGACCTTTTTTGGGTGCAGTCCTGTCACTCGAGTTGAACCTTGGTGTGAAAGTTGTCGCCTGCTGGCGTGGTGACCAGGTGATTTGGGCACCCTGGTGCACGTGACCGCTTCTTCAACCATGTTCGATTGGGAATAAAGGAGGAACGCTGCATCGCAGCCTTTTCGGACCAAAACCAGGCGACTCAGCATCCAAAAGACTACAACATATGGGCCAATCGCGGTCATCCGTGCTTTTATAAGAACGAAATGGCGCTTTTAGTGACATTTTGCATACAAATCCCCATCTAGTAGGGCGCAGTCACCCAGTTTCGGTGGAAGTGCGCGAGTTCGATTGGGATTCAAGTAGGAAGGGAGCGTCTCAGCTTCCTCGGACCACGACCATTCGACTCAGCACCCCGAAGACTACAACTGGTGAAATTTTAATTTTTGCCTTAACTTCCCCTTTAACGACCGTTTTCCATGCACCGACAGTTCTACACAGACACTGTATGACCTGGTTCTAAAGACCACCTGGCTTTAACGACCGCTTTTGCTTCCACCGTGGGGTGGTCGCTTAAACCTGGTTTTACTGTACTTAGCAATCTAGTGTTTCAGGGCAAGATTTCATCAGCCATTAGGTATCTCACTCCCAACAGTTCTGGCGGAGTTCTCGCAATGAGTGACGTTGGCGATCCTACGACTGGTGCCACTGTGCGTCAGGTGCTGCTGGATAAGCACCCCCAGCCTGCAGTGCCTCATGATGATGTTCTTCTACCTGGGGAGGCAGAGCCGGTCAATCCTGTGATATTTCAGAGGCTAACCCCCGAGTTGATCAAAAAGCTCAGCCGGCAAATGAAAGGCTCGTCTGGCCCCTCGCGCCTCAATCCGGACGCCTGGTGCAGGATGACGACCTGCTTCAGGGAAGCCTCAGATCGTCTTTGCTGTGCTCTGGCTGCGGCTGTAAGGTGCCTGTGCACGGAGACTCTCGAGGCTGATGCTGTGATTGGCTTCACCTCGGCACGTCTCATACCCCTAGACAAGAAACCCGGTGTTCGCCCAATTGCTGTTGGGGAGGTCTCCCGCCGTTTAATCTGCCGCGCGATCATGACTGTTGTGGAGAGCGACGTAAGAAGAGTGACGGCCCCATTGCAAGTGTGCCATCTGCATGCGAGGCCGCGGTTCACACCATGTCAGCCTTGTTTGCACGGCCAATGGTGGAAGGCGTTCCGATGGTAGATGTGTCAAATGCGTTTAACAGTCTAAAAAGACAAGCCGCTCTACACAACTTGCCTCGTCTGTGTCCAGCATTGGCAAGAGTATTCGTGAACACCTATTCCAGCCCAATTCGCCTTTTTGTGAGCGGTGGGGGCAAAGTGTTGTCGGGCGAGGGAACCTGCCAGGGAGATCCGCATGCTATGGCTATATACGCAGTCGCCATCAGCCCCCTAGTCAAGCATCTGGCCCAGGTATGCCCTACTGTCACGCAGTCATGGTATGCAGACGATGCCTCGGCAGCTGACTGCCTCCAGCCCCTGCGCACATATTGGGATGAGGTGAAGGCGGTAGGACCTGGATATGGTGTACCGTCCAAACCCATCCAAGACCGTGCTGGCTGTCAAGGCTGATGTACTTGACAGAGCAAGAGACATCTTCGGAGGAACGGGCAATAAAGTCACATGTTCTGGAAGCCGGTACCTGGGCGGCGGAATAGGCACCCGAGAATTCTGCCATGGATATCTGTCGGAGTTGGCAGGGGAATGGGCTGATGAACTGCGGGTCCTGATGAAGATGGCCAAGACTCAGCCTCACGCGGCCTACACCGTGTTCACTAGAGGCTTATCGAGCAGGTGGAAGTACCATCTCCGCGCTATGGCATGCCCCAGCGACATTATTGCCAGCGTGGATGACGTGCTAAATACCGTCCTGCTGCCGACTCTCCTTGGGCACGATGTCTCGGGTTCGGGGTCCTTCCGTGAGCTCTTGGCCATGCCAGTTCATTTTGGTGGTCTGGCCATTCCCATTCTCAACTCCCTGGCGCCACACGAGCACGATGCTTCCATCAGGACCACAGCACCGCTGGTCCGGCTTGTGCTGCCGGATTATGCTGCTCCGACAACTCAAGTACCTGCGCTTGCTGGTGCCGGCACCCCGGACAAATCTCGCTTGGTGACGGCCCTGAGGCGGCAGGCGGGTGATTTCCCCCCTGCTGCAGTGGATTCAAGCGCGCAGCCCGCCGGTGTTGTTACCGCATTGACAGCGGTCCCGGATTCAGCGATTGTCTCCATTGAGGCTGATCCGGTCATGGACGCCATTGGCGCAGTGCGTGAAACTGCCCGCCAGCTCCGGTCTGTGCAGCTGAGGGAACATGAGGATCAGTCCCGGAGCCTTCATGGCACCCTGTCACCACAAAAGCAGTTGCTTCTGGAGACGGCTGGAGAAAAAGGAAGAGTCTCCAGCTGGCTCACGACACCTCCCTCCCTCATGCACAGAGTAACAATTCTGAACAAAGCCGATTTCCGTGATGCACTGTGCCGGCGTTACGGTCTGTCTTTGGATGGTCTCCCCAGTACCTGTGTGTGTGCGGGGCTGCCCTCACCACGGATCATGCCCTATTGTAGCGTGCCCATGAGGGGGATACCCCATCTCTCGCCACAATGAGATCAGAGATATCCTGGCAGAGGTAATGCGGGAGGTGGTGAAGGATGTGGAGACCGAGCCGACTCTGCTCCCATATCAGGGAGAGGATTTGCCAGGCCGGTCAGCCAACTGGTCGGCAGGAGCCGCTTGGATATTCGGGCTCAGGGATTTTGGTCGAGGCCACGGGTCACTCACCCGAGAGCCTCCCTGCTGTCTCGTTCGTAAGTCCTGAGTCAGCTCCAGGCACAAAAAAAGAACATACTGCGACAGAGTGAACAGGGTAGACCGTGGAGCTTTCACTCCTCTCATTTTCAGTACCTCCGGCATGTCCGGCATGTGCGGCAAAGAGACGACATTGTGTTTGAAGGCACTGGCATCGCAACTGGTGGAGAAGCATAGCGAGCTTGCCTACTCTGTAGAAATGGGCGAGCTTCGGAGCCTCCTGTCGTTTACCCTGCTCCGTTGGGCCATATGCTATGCAAAAGACGTTACTTCAGCAACGTCTGGCGCTAGCCAGGGTCCACACAGCTTTAATTCCGTGTTTGTTTGTTTGTGCCATCGGCATGCTTGGCGCTATCCCGTACCTGTCCCGTACCGTACCATCAAAGACAGCTGGCCACAATATTCAGATAGGACTGTCAAATGCAAGATCATATCGTGAAGCAACTTGGAAGAATGTGTATGTATGCGAAGTGTATCGCAGAGAAATGAAAAATTTATAACATCCCTATGCTTTTTTGCCTAGGTCATCAAGGTGGTAGACGGTGTCGTATTACCCTCAGGGCCCTACGCTATGCTTTTTTTGCCTAGCTCATCATGCATGTTACTCGAACAGATGGAAACTTTTTGCAATACAATGATGTAGCCGATCAGTTCGTTGTGGTATGGTTGGGCATTGAAGCTGTCATGGTCGACGTAAAACACTATAAGACCGCAACGAAGTTGGGGCCATAGAGAAAGTTCCATCAGTTCTAATAACATGCATGATGAGCTAGGAAGAAAAGCATAGCGCAGGGCCCTGAGCTTCCAAGCTCTCTCGTTTGATAACAAACTGGGTGTCGGAATCAATAATTCGAAAAGCGCAAGCAAAGAAGGCAATGGTGACAAATCCAGTCAAGTACATTGTACTACTACTATTACTACTACTTGCAAGTGCTACGATACATCTTGTGAACTAACGTTACATGTACATGGCTAAAAAGCCTACAATCATGGCTACAATCACCATGAATACATATGCTGCCCTTGCATGGGCCTATGGCTGGGCTAATGCTTACCTGCTGTATTGTGCTCTGCAGAGCGGCAGGATTGTCATAACAGAAGTAACTGCCTGCAGTCAGTGGGCAATCAGTTCAAACACGAATACAACAAATAAAAAAGTGAACACACACACACACAGTGTATAGTGTACAGATTTCTGACATGCACTATGAATGTGTGCACAGTTGCAAGCAACCCACAAACTCGTGCACACCACAGCAAACAGATTGGAAGCAAATTGTGCATGCCTTCAAGTGCCAATCAGGCATAATATACAGCGCACAAACTAACAGTGATAGTAATCCCGTGGTAGTGGGGGAGGGAGCACTGGTTTCCACGAATGCATGCATGCACACTGCAAGAGTGTATTGAGCATGAATGGTTTATCACAATATAGCTACAACTGTACATGCATTACAATCTGCTGACCATCGATACACAGCCCTTGTTGGGGTGCGACAAGCACCAACATATTGCCCGTGCACGCTCACGTGGGCAATATCGGCCGATATCTGCACAAACGATGACGGCCGCGTGTGCAGATACCGCACCCATTACTGCTCACGCGTGCAAGGGCAATGCTTCGCTTACCCTATCCCGCGTGACTGTTTCATGCGTATGTACATCTCGTGTGTAAATACTATTCCAAGTCGCTTGCCATAGTCTGCTGCTTTTCATGTACTGTATAAGTACAGCGTTTTGTTTGGAATTAACTTTCGCTATACTCGTTAGGGGGCACGAAATAACTAAAGTCTGTACCAAACTAATGTTTTTTTTCTGAACGTTCGGGGTGACAGACCTCGACCAAAAACGAAATTTAGTACGTAACAAACCTTCTGGAGTGATCTAACGAAAGATTTTGTAAACGAAAACTTGTACTTATACAGTAGATGGGTTCCAAAAGCCAAATACACCACATTGAACACCACATTGAACACCACATTGAACACCACACTACTAGTACTACGCTTAGATAAGTTCAAAGCATGAGCTGAGTACTGCATTGCAATACTGCATGGGACAACAAAACGAGTTATGCTCCGCAGTATCATGAAACATAGCACACTCTACAAGATCATAGATGAGTTTGATCTAGGGCAACAGCCATGTGGGATACGATATCACGCAATACTGGTGCTAGCAAGAGTAGCGTTTCATTAGATTCTTGATCTCTGTCATCCTGCTGTGTTGATCTGTCTAAGTCTGCCGTCCCAGCTCTGCGTAAATCCCAGCCGCAAAAAAAGCACTTCTGGCTGGTGAGAAAGGTACTTCTTGTCAATATGTGGTTACTTCGCACCCACTGGAATGCAATGACGTAGATCAGAAATTTAAATGAGCAGCGCGGTGGGTATGGATCAGAGACCCCAGTGTTGCCCACTCTGGGTGGTCACAAGGTATTCCGGTGGGTATGGATCAGAGACCCCAGTGTTGCCCACTCTAGGTGGTCACAAGCTACTCTTACCAGGAGTGGTAAGTGATGCTTTTTTTCTTTTCTTCCTCCGATTTCAAGCTGCTTATCGCGCATTTACTTGGAAGTACAAGAGCTCCAATCGTGTTTCATTCCAATTCAGCCCAGCAAAGGTAGTGCTTTGGAACAGAATACAGAGCACTGTAGCACATACAAATTGTTGTATGCTACATTGTACTCTTGTGGGCAGTTGCACAAGATGTGAAGTGGGTGTTCGACACTACTCCTTCAGCCATTCAGACCACTAGCTTGGTCAATCATGAGGCTGAGATAAGCGCTGCGTGCCTGTACCAGTGCTGCCTGAAACTTCCAGAATACAGTTAAAGTATGTGTGATGCAGAGGCTGCTGTACCTGCCAGAATACAGGTAAGGATGTACTTGAGAGGCTGCTGTACGCTGTATTGCCACTAATACTAGTGCCCCTCTCTTGAACTGCGCCCCCCCCCCCCCCCCCCCCACACACACACCTCTCTCCCCATCATCCATTTTGACATGTTCCGTTGAGCTCCATCGAGGTCATATCCTGCGGCTTGTGAAACTTTGGTCCCTACAGGAGTCGCGCGTCCAAGAGCGCTGTTTCCAAGGGGTTAGCCTAGGGCGTTCTCATTTTTCAGAAATCTGGCTGCGTTCTTGTAGCACGTTCTTAGAAACAATTTGTACTGGATCATATGTACTTCTCCCAAAAGCCGCCGGAAAACCAACACCGACGTTCTCAACTTTAGGCTGTGGCATCTTAGCATTTCAGGCTGGACGTTCTTCTCCACATTCTTCGGCACCCGACTCTACTGTACATGCTATGCTGCCCTATAAGGCGTTTGTGCCACAAGAAAATTCATGCGCACGCTGACGTCTCATGAACTCTGTATTCTGGAGAAAAAACCTAAGCCGCAAGCTTTTGCGCATGTCCTCTCGCTACTGCTAGTTGTGTACTACTGCCGTATCATCCTCAGGCGTGTCCAGGACTCTGTACATGAACAATGAATGTGTCAAACTTTACTTCAGACAGTTTCTTCTCTAGGTGTACAGTACTCAGCAAAAACTCAGACTCACTGAGCCAACTGCACTGTTCACTCACCGAATGATAAGAAGCACATGAACAACAACATAATATAGCGGTGAGGAGCACGGGCCGGGTGGCAGACAGCACTGCTGCCACAGCCACATAGGTTATCCTCATGGGTACCATTCAACAGGCGCTTCGTCTCCATCTTGTCCTCGTTCGGACTTTGAATACTCATAATACTAGTAGTTGTTGAGTGAAGAGAAGAAGACAAGTGAAAGCAGTCAAGGTATGGGGCTACGATGATTTGCACAACTGGGGTGCCCTCCAGCTACAGAATCCACCTTTGCCTGTAAGCAAACTATCAGTATGTGGCTATGCCTGACCACTGACTTGTCAAAGGAAAGATACATGTAATGCCAATTTTCAGAAATAATTCAGTGAGAAAATATTTCAAAAATAGATCGGAACAAAGCGTTCACATAATATGTACATGTCACACTGCACTGTTCAAAACGACAGAACGCGGCGCGCGCCGCGCGGCCCACCAACCACATGTCACATGACGTCAAGAGTTCATAACCCCGCGGTTATGATTCTTATGAACTCTTGATGACGTCAACAAACACATCAAGATCAAGATCAAACCAGGGAGTCGTAAAATACCCGGTATTTTACGACTCCCTAGGCATGCTGCATTGTACAGCTAGCGCGCAGTCGACTAGTCCGCGACTCCAGCTCCGCGGACTCGCTAGCTAGCATCAAGAGTCTTGCTAGCATGCAGCTAGCTGCACGTTGCATGCAGTGTTGGAGCGCGGAGGCCATGCCACCGCGCCGCCGAGACCTCGCTATACTATGCGCTAGTGCATGCCATGCCGTGCTAGTCACGGATCACGATACATAATGTACATGCATGCTACGTCATGTACATGCTTTTTTCTGTAGCTGCATCATCGCAGTGGAGCCAAGCAGGCTTTGGCCTCGTGTTCGCACAAACAAAAACCGGTACGGTACCGGTAACCTCTCTACTCTACATGTGTATACAGTCAGTTTCAAAAAGATTAGCAATCCTGGCGATCGCCCGGGGAGTTTGCCGTCTTACCGTATGCGCGCTCGAGAGCTGGCTGGAAAAACTCACTGTGAACTCGAAGAAATAATCCGCGCGAAAGCATGAAAAATGATAACTCACTCACGTCGGTACATGTACGTCTGGTTTACAACAAAACGAGTTCTTCCTCGTATCGACATGGAGTCAGAGAGGACATGTCGAAAGTGTGGTAAGTGTTGACGAGCGGGATGGGTCCCAATTCGTTTCGTGCCCAATTTCTTTGAGCTGCGATGCAATTTACTCTCACGATGTGACGAAAACGACATCGACACAGACTCATTCCCAAGGCCATGACTTGGCAAAGCTATCCGTGTGACTTCGACGACATTTTGAGAAAAGCAGACACCTGTGAAAGCTGATAGAAGACGGCGTTGACTCCTAAATTCAAATAAATTGGCGATCTTGAAATACTGAAATACATGTAATTCTCAAAGAGAAATCGATCGATCGATGTGCCGTTGTATTCAACAACACGTAGCTGCAGCGCAATGACTTCCGTGTTCACTCACACCGTTTCAGTGTTGTGGGTGTGTTCACATGGCGTGAAGCAGTCAAGTGTCAGTAAGTTCGGCAGGAAACGCGAGCTCCAACAACAACAAGTCGTTTGGCGCAGCCACCTTCTTTGGCTTGTACTTTTTGTACCAGCGTGATCACCAAAACTATGAAAAAAAAGTTTGACTTGAGGATAGTTTGGGATTTGAACTCACAACTTCATGGCCAGCAGACAGCATTCATAACCACAAGGCCAAAAAGGAAAGGATAAATCGTGGGTTTTGATAAAAAAATCGATACTGACATCCAGGGCAAATTGTAAACCATGGGAAAAGGCCGGAAACCTGGCCGAAATTCTAACTCCTTAACGGCTGGTCCAATTGTTCCGAAACCTTCACAGAACAATTTGCCGTGTCCTAACAAGCCATTCTATGTACTTTGTTGTCCAAATTTCCCTTATCTTCGTACTTTTTAAGACCAAAACCTGATTGCTAATCTTTTTGAAATGGACTATAGCTCTCCGCGGATCCGATCCCGTTCAACGACGATACACGCCTGCCACATAATGCGACTTGTCAAGAAGCTAGTAATGGCTGCGAGTCAAAGACTCTCTACAGTTGTAGCTCTCAGCGCTTGACAGTGTCTTGCCGAAGCTATGCTTGGGGGAATTGGTGGGATCTGATATGAATCACTACCCCGCTCCTGAAAGTCTATCTACTCTTGGTAGTAGCTGATCTGTGTTTCAAAACTTTTTTTCATGGAAAAAATCATAGTGGAAGAGACGTGTTGCCACGTACGTGGGTGATGTTTAGTTGATGAAGTAGCACTTACTGCCTCATCCTTTATGGAAGGGTTGTCCCGGACCGGTCTTCGTTGCCGCTTGCTCTTCAGATCAGGTGAGACTTTTGAGGGATGTTGTGTAGCTTATGAAGTTATGTCCGTGGTTTTCTGGCGAGCACAAGTGACACGACGTGCGGTAACATTTTTGTAGGTAACTGGTTGACTGCATGCATGCGTGACTGATTGATTGACTGCATGACCAGGCATGGTGACTGTATTGAGATTTTTGTCGGAAATCACCCTGCCCCGCCGTCCATATTTCATGCATGTATAATACCCAGACCTACTTTTATCCAACAGGCTTGGGCCAGCTCCTGAACTTCAGGCTGAAGGCTGGTACAGTATACTATAGAGTCCGTAAACAAGAGTATGCAACTGTGATCTCTTTTCTATGGGCCAGATGCGCGGTGCCAGGGCATAGTACCCCCTGCTCTCAACCAACACGCACAGCAACTGTCAGATACGTAATGGGTTATGATTAGTCTACTCCTGATTGCGATTGCTTTGCGTGTCGTGCGCGCGCGCGCGCGCCCGGAGAGACGCATTCATATCATTGCTGATCTACTTCTAGATACAAGGGCGTCGGAACCGCACCGGCCGGGGCGGCCATGGGGCGTTTATTTTTATTTTTTTAGCACACTGCAACAAAGTGCAATGATCTCAGCGCAGATGTGGCGAATCCTTGTCCCCGATCGTGGTTTGTTGCAGGATCAAAAGTCCATGTACTGTAAAAGCAGAAATTTTCGGTGGTGTTTTATTTTCGGTAATTTCGGTGCCGACAATTTTTACCGAAAATAAAACGCACCGAAAATTTCCGTACTACCGGTACTGTATACATTTTAGTACTAATACACTTACCTGGAAAACGGGTTTTACCGAAAATTTCCCTCCACCGAACCGCCGATTTTGGAGAATACCGAAAATATTACACCACCGAAAATTTCTGCTTTTAATACAGTGCACTGAAATGGCACCAAATGCCTGGGAATGCTTGCAATTGGCTTCAATTTTTGAATTTTTTCCCGGGGGAGGGTAATGTTTGTCCCCGATCGTAGCACCTTCTTGGTTTTTTGCAGAATCAAAAAGTCTTTCATTGTAGTTACCATACACTGAAATGGCACCAAATGCCCGGAATGCTTGCAATTGGCTTCAATTTTTGAAAGTTTTCCCGGGGGAGGACCCACGGACCCCCCTTTCATGGCCGCCCCACCTCCAAAGTCGGTGCGACGCGCCTGAGATACATCCATATGTACCGTATTGTACCTTATTCTCTTGAAGATTCTCTTTTTTGAAAAATGCAGATTTGAGTGTTTGTATCCTTTTGTGGACGCAGACAGACACCTTTGACATTGCGGGCTTTTTTTCTTCGCTTGATAGTTCAGTGCACTCCCTGGTTCAGTGGCTGTGCCTCCCGTCAGCACAATGTCGTAGTAATAATCTCAACGAATATTCTAACACAGTCTTTTTTGGTATTAGGAAGGAGAATTCAGAGATAAACATCACCGACTAGACGTTAGAGATAAGACAGAGATAAAAGACTCCAGAGACATGACAATGACCAAGGCACAAGATTATACCCTGACGGGGAAAACGGAGTACTTGTAGGAAAAAGTGATTGCTTTGCGGAGTACTAAGAAAAGTGGTCACCATTGCCAGATTACGTCGAAATCATAGTATGCCAAGTGGTCAGCATTTCTTCCAGAAAGGAGTGTACAAAGTGCTGACAATGAGCAGAATGAGGGGAAAGGGGCACCGTTGTGCGCGCATCTACAACAGATAACACGAATTCCACTGGCTGAATGATGTTGCGTTTTTGTTTTGTTTTGCTTGTTTCTTATCTTTATTCTCACGATGGCCTGTGGCCAATAAGAGGTTGTTGTTTGAATTCTTTATTCTCACGATGGCACCATCGCCAATAAGAGATGTTGTTGTTGTTGTTGTTGTTGTTGTTGAACATTGCACCTGTGGCTGGTGATTATGTTAGGCATTATGTATACAAAATGCTCTAGAGTCTGCTTTGTGCTATGCTGGTGCCGGGTGGTGCTGGGTCGGGGCGAGGAAGAGGATAAGGAAGCATGTCCTTGCTACATTGTACTTTTGCTTGTCTGGTTGGTTTAATTTACTGCAGGTTGTCACCCTAGCGAGGTAACGCTATCATTAACAGGCGATCAGAGCCGTCATTAGTACTTACTCACTCACGGTTGGTTACAGCCGTCAACAGCAAGCAAGATGGATCGGGTGTTGAAGATCATCTTTGAGTTCTGCACGGCTGTGATCATGTCATTGAGCTATGGCTTCATGATTACCTACCTTGTCCTATGGGGCCGCGCCATGCCAGAACATGCTTACTTCATGCTTCTCTTCGTGGCAGTGTTCACGACCATTGTGGCTCTGCTCGTGGCGTTGGCGAGAAAGATCTGGTTCATGGTGATGGGAGGTATGTGTTAAACACTGGCGTTCTGTGCAATGTTGAACCCTCTCTGGTCATATTTGATCCCCCCCCCCCCCCCCCCCTCCTTTTTGTGTGGGTGAGTTGGGTTGGTGGATGGTGATGCTTGTGTGTCTGCATGAGCACATGTCTACATGTAGTTGTGGAGTGATTACAGCCTTCTATTGCATTCATGTAGTGTATACCCGATGCATGTACATGTATATGGAGTAACCTTTTTGTTGACATATCTGTATTTCATGTTGGCGTAACTCACTTCTATTCCCAGGGCAAGATTGTCAAACGATGTCGCATCCCATCAACCGCACCTATATGAAATTCCCAGTTCCCCAGCTCATTGGCTTCTTGCTCATGCTGAACTATGTGACGGCTGGCTTCGGCAGCCCGCATGTATCTGGCATTTTGCAGGTAACTGAATGATTGTGTTGTGTTGCCTTAGGTTGTTTAGCACAGTGCAATATAAACACTACTTGTAAGTACCCAAGGGTAGGCAGATTGTCGTTTTGTTTTGTGTTTTTGTTTTTTTTTTAATTAATGTTTGCAATGCATACGTATTGACTCACTGCCGTTCCGTGTGTTCTGGAAACTCTAGAATGAAATAAAGCATTATATGCTCTTCCCTTTTCTCTCTGTACATTTATACAGTCTGTTCTTTTATCTGTGCTGCGTGCGTGTGTGTGTGTGTGTGTGTGGCCATTAGGCTATTCTAACGCAAGGCAGTATCCCCTTCACCATTGTCATGAGTTATGTATTGCTCAAGCGACGCTATACATGGCTTCAGGTTAGTCCAGTCACTTGCACTGCAGCTTATTTTGTTCTGTTATGCCAATGTTGTGCTGGCAAGCGTACGATATTGCAATGTGTGCGTGTAGTTTTCCTGTATATATTCGTTTCTAACTTATTCAGTTTGCATCAAGATGCTAGCTGCCGTAAAGGGCAAAACTGGGATACGTACATGTAATAAATCTATTGATTTCATGATTTTGTGACTCCCATTTAGTCAGTTTACGCCAAAACAACTCAGCTCCTGAACGAACTTGACCATTGCTTGATGAAGCAATAGCTTTATCTCGCAGGGCTGACCATTTGCTGATGTAAACTGTGCACATGTATGTGTCTGGGTATGTGTTTTAGTTGGGTGGCGCTGCTGTTGTGATTGGTGGCGCTTTACTGTCAATGGAGAAAGACTTCAAGTCCGGCTCGTGTGATCCATCATTGAACTCTACCAACGCCACTGACTTCATGTTGGAATGCCATGATGTTGAAGCTACTCTCATCGCAAAGAATGTGTCATCCATTTGTATTGGTGACTCCAACTCCGTGAGTACTGTCTGGTATTGAACAGTGTTATCATGTCATAGCTGCTCTCCTTATGCTGCTGCCTCACAGTCTAGTTGAAGTGTGTGTGTGTGTGTGTGTCCAATTTAAGTTAACCGTGGGCTTTGGACTCGGGTCCATCTACTTGGTCCGTTTCATCGCAATTGTCGCTTATCTATCGCAACTAAGAACAGGAGTTTTTTTACGGCTCTGTAAAATTTCCAATACGCATAGTGAAGAAGCATGATACAGGAGTCCTGTCCGCCACAAGAAATAAATTCAGGGATGGAATCTGATGAAGCAAGTCGAAGAAAGGAAGCAAGGTTACAAAAAATGTACAAAAGAAAACAGCGACGGAGCGCCTTCTTGCACTCACGCTTTAGTTTATCCGACTCTGGCTCTGTATCACTCGAGCTGATGCCACTTGAGCTGACATTCACTGGTGTGTATAGCTGCTGGCGTAGAGTATCTCTTGCTTTCTCCGCTTGGCGTGTAGCAGCGATGGGAAAGGAACAGTCGCGGCTGTCACTTTGGCACTTGGAGGAACGACGGGTTACGTGGGCAGAGTGACCCGTCTGTCACTACAGTACTGTGTGTTCAACAATGTTTTTGAATCAGGCACACATCCCTCTCCAGACAACTATCATACGCTCTGCTGGATACGCTGACCACGACTCTTGTACTGCCGCTGCCAGGTCGGACAATGTCTTCTTTGCCACCATCTCGCCATCAGTTTGCAGGCTTGCAAAGAATACCAGGTCATTGCAGTTCAAACATTGCAGATCAAACATTGCAGATCAAACAACTGAGCTGGCTGGCCTGGCCGTGACTGTCACGCTCTCCAGGTCAGGTTGTCGATTTCCCCTGCTACAGTTCCGGTCTTTGAGCTGCGCTTGGCTTTTCGCTGCAGTGAATGTGTGCATTCACTGCATGCAGTGCATTCACTGCAGCGAAAAGTTTCCCACTTTCCCATCAAAATTGTATGAATCGCGATGCCAATGGCGCTAGTCGCGATGTTTTTTTTCTTTCTGGTCTCCTTTGATCTTGCCATCACAACCTCCCAAACGAATGTGAGTTAGATATCGAGATTGGACTGGGTTTTACCTGTCAAAAGGTGCGCGGGAGATAAGCGACAATTGCGATGAAACGGACCAAGTAGGTATATGCTTGCCAATATCCACTGTTATTGGGTTACAATCTAACACACACATTCTGTTGTGCGCACCGGTACTGTGTGTTTCCTGTGTGTCCATGTGCATGTGTGTCACTTACACAGATTGCATGGGACTTCCTGTACTTTCTCTCTACGTTGCCTATTGGTCTGGTCAATATCATCAACGAATACTTCCTCCAGGTAACTGCATCCTGTGGTGTATCGCCTACTGCCTTCTACTGCCTACTACTGCCTACTACATCCTTCTATACTATACTCTACTGAATAGCGCTGTGCTGTGGATTGCATTGTACTGCTGAGGCTGGTATTTGCTATTCATACATTTTTTTTAAAGTACGCCACATAGTGATCCTTTGAGGATGGACTTGGTGTATCAGGGTAGGTCTACATATTCATACTTCAAGCATGTTTGCAAAGTTTTATTTTATAAAATTTCTGGCCATGACGTTTATTCTTCCCATCTTCTTTTTTTTCAAAGCTGTTGTCAGAGCAGTTGATCCTGTCTATGTTGCTCATGTCTTCTATCATCAGTGTATGCATACATTATATCATACTGTTCTGTGCTCTGCTCTGTGCTCGCTGTTATGTAGTATTCTAAAGGCAATGATGAGCGCCGTGCCAAAGCCGGCGAACTGAACATTGCCATTACCGTGGCTCTCAACAACATCTGGCTCTTCTTCTGGCTGCTGGTGGTGTTCTGGCTCAACTTGTTGCCTAACGTTGTACCGCAGTGTGCGGATGTTGGCCACAATGTCCATGTCTTGGGCGAGAACATGAAGGCTGCATTCCAGTGTACATTTGCTGGCCATGGTGGCTTCACTGGTAATGTGACTAACAGTACCTTGGATCTGCACTTCAAGGACCACTGCGACATAGCCATGACATACGTAGCACTGCTGGCTGTGGCAGCTTCGGTTCAAATGATTTTCCAGGTTAGTTTTGTCGATAGTTTCTGGTGTGTGCTGGCCCTGTGCATCAGTGCAATAGGTCCAGATGTACACGCACGCGCGCGCGCGCGCACACACACACACACACACGCACACACGGGCATGTGTACAAGAACTGGGGTGCCAGTGGTAGACACGCCTAAGGATTTGTTTTCAGTCCCGTAAGGGTGGTATTACTGTATCGCACTGTGGGTAGTTGGTGCAAGTAGTCACTGAAACTCTCCTACTGACTGTGCGTTGTTTAAACTCTCCTACTGACTGTGCATTGTCTGACTGTGTGTTGTCTGACTGTGTGTTGTCTGGCTGTGTGTTGTCTGACTGTGTGTTGTCTGGCTGTGTGTTGTCTGACTGTGCGTTGTTTTGTGTTCTACAGGCATACACTGTACAACAACAGAGTGCAACGTTCACAATGGCGTTGGTCACTCTTGGTCCCATGTTTGCCGTCTTCTTCCAGAACAGCAAAGGGGTAAGGAACAGTGATTTGCACACACATATACACGTGCACAGAGGGTGGTTGTGATGGGCGTGGGCGTGTGTTCTGGAATAAACACAAAGACGGTTTGAACTTTGAAGTATCGAGTTGAAGGTTAGATTTGAGCTCGCCGCCACCATACTTTCACTGTTGTGCATTCAGTACGAAAATCACCAAGTGTTCATGATTACAGTAGAGTCCCGATTATCCGCACCCCTCGTATCGGGGCGCAGGGCTGTCTCCAAGGCGTTCGGATGAGAAGTATGTTCGGATAAGGTAGCGGTCACACATCCATCTAAAACATTTTCATCATTTTCTCAATCTCGTCTTCAGTACCACAGGAACTAGACACACTTCAGCTCCTCTAAATGACACGTTTGGTGATTCATTTCGACTCACGCCTGTTGTGATACATCTTGTATAGTATACTGTTTGAATGGTGCTTCAGGTAGGAAAATTCAACAAACACTCATTTTAGTCCTTCAATTCAATGCAACAGGCAATGCGGATAATTGACGTTGGGATAATCAGCATTCTACTGTATACTACTTCAAGTAGTTTCTAGGTTTACTGGAAGTAGCACCAATATTTCCTGTGCCCAATTCCGGTCTGCCGAATTCTGCTGTTGCTCATGGTAGTATTGTGTGCGTGCGTGTGGGTATGTGTGGGTATGTGTGGCTGTGGGCATGTCTGTGTGGGTGAGTGGGTGCGTCTGTGTACGTGTGTGTGTGTGCATCTGTGCACGTGTTGTGTATGTGTTGGTGGGTGGGTGTGGTTTGTAACTGTCCAATGTTCATAGATCACTGGGGATTTCCATGAGGAGGTCAAGACACAGTTTACAGCTTTCATGACTGCTGGCTTAGTTGTGGTATTGCTTGGTATTCTCCTCTATAAGGTAAGATTGCCCTGCATCACCACTGTCTATTTTGCTGCTGCTGCTGCCGCTGCTCTTAGTTGGTTTTGGTTCGGGTTCTGGTTCTGAGTTTAATGTTCTCGTAATGCTCTGTGCATGCCATTCATTGTCCCTGCTGTTTCTGAGACAGTTAGGTTTGCAATGTAAGATACAAAAACGTCCAGTGGTGTTTACGCAGAGCTGTCCGCAAGGAAATCCGGAATGTACGTTTCATTCCAAATGTCATACTTCAGTACTTCAATGAAGTTTTACAGCTGTACACTGTACTGTAAGACATGTATATAACGAGGAAGCAAATCTAACGTTTTAACGGATGACATTTCTTCGTTGTAATAAGATCCGTTGAGGCCGTACTGCTTCATATATGCTGTGTGTGGATATGACAGAATACTGAAAGATCGTTAGCATATCTTTTTGGACAATCGTTAAATTTGCGACTCGTTATAATAACATGTCTTACAGTAGTTGGTGATTGTATTGACCTTAGTACGGGCGTGATGCTGACCTCCCTGGTCAAGAACTATTCATTCCAGAGTTTGTCTGGACACCTTGATCTCGTTCTAACCGACATCGCCGATCTTTGGTACCCCGTACAGGTAGAGAATATGTGTCCTACCATTGGACATACCCCATACCCCATACTGGGCCATAGAGATTAACTGATTTTTATGTACGCAAACACTGCCAGAAAAGCGCGAGGGCCTGTGAGCGCAGTCCCTCTTTTTGCTTGACGACGACTTTGATGAAAGATCCCGATACTAGTACCAACAATATTAAAGTGCGAATCGAGAAATGAATGGCTTGGATCCTCTTTGCTAGATTGCAAAACCATGTGATGTGGTGATGACCAATGCACGCGTCCACTCCGTGCTCTATCTCTGTGCAGTGTGTACTCATTTTGTCATTCAATCTATGCTCTTTCTCTATGCTGTGTCTGCTTGTGTGGTCCCCGATAGACCCCGGAGGTGCTAAGATTTGCTGGTGTTGCATCTAGCCAGCACCCTATCGAGACGGACGATTCTGAGTCATGGATTCACAAACGTCTAAGCCGTGTGCTAAAGTACTATATACGTGAGGCACTGCGTACGTACACGGACAGTGGCAAAGGTGAAGTACAGGCCCTGCAAGACACAGCGTCGCCAGACGATGGACCACCAGGCTGTTGTCTCTAGTACACGTACCCACGAATTAACACACTGCTGTGTGTGTGTGTGTACGTGTGTGTGTACGTGTGTGTGCGCGCGCGCGTGGGTGTGTGTGTACGTGTGTGTGTGTGCGTGGGTGTGTGTACGTGTGTGTGTGTGCGTGTGTGTACGTGTGTGTGTGCGTGTGTGTGTGTGTGTCTGGTCCTAGAATGTTTTGTTGACATGCTGAGACGTACACAGTCCGGACGCATCGTTGATTACTCATAAACCACACCATTGCTGACAGTATTATTCTGCATGCGCACTGCCCCATTCTCAATTTCACTTTGCCTCGACAAGCAACAGGCACCAGGGACTGATTCTGTGTCTCCCCTTGCCCTGGCTTGGCATGACCAATATATAATAAAAAGAAACGTTCTAATACTGCACCACATTGCACCATTGCTTTGTGCTGACATCTGCCTGCAATGCACACACTCCATGAGCCTGGTTGCTTTCTACCTCACTGCAATGTACACACTCCATGAGCCTGGTTGCTTTCTACCTCACTGCAATGCACACACTCCATGAGCCTGGTTGCTTTCTACCTCACTGCAATGTACACACTCCATGAGCCTGGTTTTGCTTTCTACCTCACTGCAATGCACACACTCCATGAGCTGCTGGTTGCTTTCTACCTCACTCGTCACCGTCACACACGTACACGTGGGCTTGTCTTTCTTTCTTCTTCTTCTTTTTCTATGAAAATCAAGAGCGTATTCTCAGGCCTTGGATACGTTAATTTTACCAACAGTATGCGCTTGTGGTTTCTATGACTCGAATTAAAAAACGTCTTGACAGTACAGTATGCAGTTTCTACACACCTTGTTCTGTGTATCTCGTAGATATTCCGCATGAAACATTTTCTCCACGATCCCTGATCATGTAGCACTCTAGACCTTTCCTCTGACAATCCATCATTCTATTTGCAAAGTTTGAAATTTCCCCGTTTATCTTACATTGTGTTCCTTTTCGAACTCAAGCTACATGACAAGAAACAGTTGTCAGTCAATGTAGTATTCGTTGAATCGTTTGGTATAAGTTTTGATGCTTCTTGGAATCTTTCTGCGGGGAAAAAAAAATGAAAACTTGGCTCTCCGCACACTATTCAAGTTCTCTCTATCTCTCTTTGCCTTCTTTCTTGTTTTGATTCTTTTGTTTCAAGTTTTAATATTGGACTGTGGCGGACATGATTAGTTCTACCGTATTATCATTATTATTATTATTATTTCTTATTAAACGTCAAATATTGTTGTCCAAAAGACCAAAACAAGTGAAAAACAAAGGGTATGCTCGGTAATTGGATGAATCTGGTGTTTGGGGGTGCACATGGTGCATGCGTGTCTGATTTCCACCTTTTGCTTGATATTGCACGGATAAAGTTTACATGTCGATTCAACTTGTCCTATTGATTGCGGTTCTAAGAAAGGAAAATTTGGATGTATTGTGGAGAGACAGAGAAAGACACAGACACAGACGTACTGCTACTAGACACAGACAGGGGGAGCAGGGCTGTGTAGCAGGGCTGTGAACCAGAGCTGTAAAGTAGGGATGTGAAGCAGCGCTGTGGCGCAGGGTTGTGAAGTGAGGTTGTGAAGCAGGTTGGTGAAGCAGGGCTGAAAAGCAGAGCTGTTGAGCAGGGCTGTAAAGCAGGGCTGTGAAGGTGCCATTCAAGCCCTAGGGCCTGAATGGCAGGGCATGATCAGAGGTTCATGCCCTGCCTGTGAGCGCTCTGATTGGCTCAATCCGTGGCAAGTGTGAAGCAGGGTTGTGAACTGAGGTTGTAAAGCAGGGTTGTGAAACAGGTTGGTGAAGCAGGGCTGTAAAGCACAGCTAGCTGTGGAGCAGGGCTGTGAAGCAGAGCTGTCACGGAAGCAAGGTTGTAAAGCAGGGCTGTGGAGCAGGGCTGTGAGAGCTGTGAAGCCAGATTGTAAAGCAGGGTTGACTTGTGGAGCAGGGCTGTGAAGCAGAGCTGTGGCAAAGCTGTGAAGCAGGGCTGTAAAGCACAGCTGTGGAGCAGGGCTGTGAAGCACAGCTATGAAGCAGAGCTGTGAAGCAAGGTTGTAAAGCAGGGCTGTGGAGCAGGGCTGTGCAGCAGAGCTGTGAAGCCAGATTGTAAAGCAGGGCTGTGAAGCAGAGCTGTGGCAAAGCTGTGAAGCAGGGCTGTGGAGCAGAGCCATGAAGCAGAGCTGAGAAGCAAGGTTATAAAAAGCAGGGCTGTGGAGCAGGTCTGTGCTGCGTGACGGCAGAGCTGTAAAGCAGGGCTGTGAAGCAGGGCTGCAGCGCTGTAGAGCAGGGCTGTGAAGCAGGGCTGCAGCGCTGTAGAGCAGGGCCGTCGGAAGCAGGGCTGTGAAGCAGAGTTGTAACGCAGGACTGTGAAGCAGAGCTATGATCGCCCCTACTCCCCTTTCTGTTTGTCTTCTTGTCCAGTGTCATTTCAGTTGTCCTCTTCCCCGGATTACTGTTAGTAGGGCTGTGTTTGCTAGTAAAAAATAAAAAATATAAATATAAAAATGAAGCAGAGCTGTGAAGCAAGGTTGTAAAGCAGGGCTGTGGAGCAGGGCTGTGCAGCAGAGCTGTAATGCAGAGCTGTGGAACAGGGCTGTGAAGCAGGGCTTTGGAGCAGGACTGTTGAGCCTTCTATTCCATACTCTTTGTAGTTGTACTTCTGTACTGTTGAGCTATCCGAATTCAAATAAACACTAAAAAAATCATAATAAACCATGAAAGCATGCTGTGGAGAAAGGGCTGTGAAGCAGGGCTCAGTTATGAAAGCAAACATTTTGTCTTATCAGTGTTCTTCCTAATGAGGTTTCTCTGTACTTGCAAGTGGCCATATTAAAGTACAAGAAAATGCTACACAAGTACCCCCATACCAAGGTGTCCGTGCATACCGTAGAAATGGAAAAGAGAAAACATTTATTTATTTACTTCTTCTATTCATTAGTTGGCTTCTTTTGTAAAAAGATTTTTTTATTGCCAAATTCGAGTTACCTTTGAAAATTATCATGTTCAACTGTCTTCGTAATCGTCATACTCGTCCAACTGATGTCACCCTCACCCTGCGAATAATCAGCTCATCTCTCCCGTAGCTCCACTTCTCCTTCCATCATGACCGAACATCAATTATACTTCAATTTCAATAAGGGGAAGTTAAGGCAAAAATTAAAATTTCACCAGTTGTAGTCTTCGGGGTGCTGAGTCGAATGGTCGTGGTCCGAGGAAGCTGAGACGCTCCCTTCCTACTTGAATCCCAATCGAACTCGCGCACTTCCACCGAAACTGGGTGACTGCGCCCTACTAGATGGGGATTTGTATGCAAAATGTCATATCACTAAAAGCGCCATTTCGCTCGTCGCTCAGTCGACTGGTTTTGGTCCGAAAAGGCTGCGATGCAGCGTTCCTCCTTTATTCCCAATCGAACATGGTTGAACAAGCGGTCACGTGCTCCTGCGTACGCCAGTCACCTGGTCACCGTGCCTGCAGGGTACAACTAATTACTTACTAGCCTGCTTGACCTTTTTTGGGTGCAGTCCTGTCACTCGAGTTGAACTCGAGTTGAACCTTGGTGTGAAAGTTGTCGCCTGCTGGCGTGGTGACCAGCTGATTTGGGCACCCAGGAGCACGTGACCGCTTGTTCAACCATGTTCGATTGGGAATAAAGGAGGAACGCTGCATCGCAGCCTTTTCGGACCAAAACCAGTCGACTCAGCGTCCAAAAGACTACAACATATGGGCCAATCGCGGTCATCCGCGCTTTTATAAGAACGAAATGGCGCTTTCAGTGGCATTTTGCATACAAATCCCCATCTAGTAGGGCGCAGTCACCCAGTTTCGGTGGAAGTGCGCGAGTTCGATTGGGATTCAAGTAGGAAGGGAGCGTCTCAGCTTTCTCGGACCAAGACCATTCGACTCAGCACCCCAAAGACTACAACTGGTGAAATTTTAATTTTTGCCTTAACTTCCCCTTTAATAGAACAATATCCCTAGCCTGCACAGTCATCTGGTCATGGCTGCAAAAATCCAGACGGACCAGAGGTCACGACTTCGTAACATGCATAATGTAGATCTACATGTTCGCGGAGTTTTGCGGACTACCCGGCGTCACTATCTCGTCCGCCCCAGGATACCTGATAAAGGCTGATTCATTCGCATCTTCTGCTACATCATACATGTCCTGTGTCCGTGTGAGAAAGAACTTTGAAGAAGACGAGTTCAAGCATACAATAATGTATTGCCATGATTTCTACCCTGCTTTTCATTGAAAACACTATTTGCATGACCTCCGAACCCTTTACTTGTACCATGCAGACCACCAGAACTGATCAGGTGCATTGTACACAATTGTGTAGCCTACATACATGTACTAAAACTGTGGTACAATCATGTAGTTATGCTCCTACCTTCGAAAGGATGCCAAATTTAATTATGCTCCAAATTTTGAACCACCAAATGATGCCAATAATTATGCCGGCATAATCCGCCGGTGCCTACCATGCGCTTGTAATTGTATGTGTAATAAAGGTCTGTCTGTGTCCTAAACAACGGTGTTATCACAATGCTTAGCAGTGATCAGCTCCCGGAAGTTTCACCAATAGTGTTCACATAACAAAAAGCGCATGGGCTTATAATTGGGGGGTGCGCAGACATAAGCACAATCATTAGTCATGCGGCTATCATGGTTATATGTGCGGAAGTACAGTAAGCAGAGCTGTAAAGCAGGGCTGTGGAGCAGGGCCGGCTGTGGAGCAGGGCTGTGGAGCAGGGCTGTGGAGCAGGGCTGTGGAGCAGGGCCGGCTGTGGAGCAGGGCTGTGGAGCAGGGCTGTGGAGCAGGGCTGTGGAGCAGGGCTGTGGAGCAGGGCTGTGGAGCAGGGCTGTGGAGCAGGGCTGTGGAGCAGGGCTGTGGAGCAGGGCTGTGGAGCAGGGCTGTGGAGCAGGGCTGTGGAGCAGGGCTGTAAAGCAGGGCTGTGGAGCAGAGCTGTGAAGCACGGCTGTGAAGCAGAGTTGTGAGCAGGGTTGTGATTCTTGTGAAGCAGGTTGGTGAGTAGGCACCGCCGGATTATGCACGCGAAATCAAGGAATTATGCTTTCATGGATTCTTGCATTATGCTCGTAAAATCCTCATATTATGCTTTGGCACCCGGGGATATATATTCACTTTGTTGTACTTATGGAGCCTCAAAGTTCGGGAAATTGTGCCTTTTTCGTACTTGCAAGTTGCAAGTGGCCATAAGTACAAGAAAATACATGTACTTGTACATAAGTATCCCCATACCAAGGGCAAGGTGTCCATGCATGTAAGTGGTCAACATGGAAAAGAGAAAACCATAATTATTAATTTACTTCTTCTATTCATTACTTGATTTCTTTTGTACTTCAGTAAAAATATTATTTCATTGCCAAATTAGTTTGAGTTACCTTTGAAAATTATCATGTTCAACTGTCTTCGTAATCATCATACTCGTCCATCCGATGTCACCCTGGGCCTCACCCTGCGAATAATCAGCTCATCTCTCCCTAGCTCCACGTCTCCTTCCATCATGACCGAACATCATCTATACTGGCATCAATTTAGAGCAATATCCGTAGCCTGCAGTCATATCATGGCTGCTAAAATCCAGACTGGTCATGACTTCGTAACATGCATAATGTACAAATGTAATGTACATGTACCGGTACATGTACACGGAGTTTTGCGGACTACCCGCCACTACATGTAGAGGAGACGGCTCGATACCGGGACGTTTTGACAGCCAAATTTGTATAGACCCAAACAGATCATCAGCGTTGATTTTTCACTCGAAATATGTTTGTGGAAGGAAACTGGCATGTTGAAGTTTGCTCTGGGGCCAGAGTCAATCGAACTGAGCCACTCCTTTGTGTTGACCCATTGCCTCCAAGTTGCCCAATTTTTCGCTTCAAAAAAGTTCAAATCAGAGGTGGCTCCAAACCGGACACGTTTTAGAGTGCACGTCAAATTCACTCTGGGTCTGAAATTAGGTAATTGCTATCGCTCCACGACGGCCAGTATAGAGTAACAATAAGCCTTGTGTGTGCTTCCATTAGTTTTGATTGGTATGCGGTGCTTTATTGGCGAGAGGCGAGCCGCTGTTTACCTGCGACAAGAAGTTGATTTTTCGAAAGTCGTAAAACTCAAGTCGCAGTGCGAAGCAACACGTCAAAAACTCACCTGCTTGATATGGCGCTTCTGGTCATCGCAGAGCCATGAAATTTTGGCTCGGAGTATAACACATAGTAGTCTCACTGTGACATATGTTTTCTAATCAAAATACCAAGAG